AAATTTTGATATACAAAATGAGTTTAATGAGGCCACATGAGTTAGCGAAAAATTAACAAAACTTTATGGCTTTTGGTTATTAGTCGAGAGCAAAAACCTGCGTGTATAGAATTCCACATTATTTTATCCTGTACCATGTTCTAAGAAAAAATGTTGTAAGAAAAAAACGCTAATCATTTCACGGCTCCGAAATTGCGCGAACTTTACAGTCTCCTAAAATAAATATAAATCTAAATGCTAGGCGTTTTGTTCTGTCAATGAGAGAATGAATATAGTTTGGTTATTTGGAATATTCAGCAGATATATTCAAATTTATACTCAAAGGCTTGATATAGACACCAAGCATCTGCAGGTTTTAGTCGAAAGGGTTTTAAAACCTTCTGAGAGTAGATGTATTTTGAACCATTCAACTCAGCTCGTATTGATTTAAAATTTTTCAGTTGTGTTAAGCCTCTAATATTCGAACTGAAATAATGTATAGAAAAAATATTCGATCAGCTCAAACTCCTTGAATACATATCTATAATCGATTCGCTTTTCATTCAATTTAGCTTGTATGGTTAGCCTTGCTGCTGCATCAAGAATGGCTAACGCTAACCTTAGCAGCGCAACAACAGGAAACTTCCGCCAACGCGCATTCTTCGGCTGTGCAATTGTACGATTCGAATCGTGGCGATAATGCAGCGGCGCCACCTTCGGAAAGTGTTTTGGGATCAATATACCGTAAGAGCAGACAATCGAGATGCGTACGTTGCTACGAAGATCGGTGCGTATATAATGAAAAGCTGAGAAAAAATTATGAAAATTTAAAATAATTCTCATTTAAAATTTTAGCTACGGCGATGATCGCAGTCGTTACTCTGGAACCGGCGCTTACTCCAGTCGTTCGTCGGACAACTGGTATGTACATTGTCATTTTCTAGAGTTAGATATATAATAGGAAAATATTATTTATTTAACACTCTCGTACTAAAATTTTTATGAAACTTTTCATTTTTTATTTCTTTAGGTATTATCCATACGATCGTTATGATGATCGTTATCGTTCAGAAGACCGCTATCGCTCGGAAGATCGTTATCGACCAGATTATGATCGTTATTCTTCGTCTTCTTCCATGGCATCTTCATATTATCGTGACAGGTGAGTAGAGATACAAATATTTTTACCATATTGGAAAAATATTTGAATATGAAATACGTTCTAAATCTAGTTGAAAACTATAAAGGCGTAAAAAACTAGTGGTTGCATTTAAAGTAAATCATTGTTGTAAGCAACGTTTAAGTCGCAGAAGGAAGACCGTCGGAGACCCTAAAAAGTGTATATATAACCGATCAGCGTGACGAGCTGAATCGATTTAGCCATGTCCGTCTGTATATACGCAAAATAGTCCCTCAGTTTTTGAGATATCGGTTTGAAATTTTGCACACCTCCTTTTCTCTCCAAGAAGCTACTTAGTTGAAACCGTCGATATCGGAGCACTATAGCATATAGCGGCCAATCAAGATAACTTTTTAGCACCTAATATGCTATAAGAAATCCACCTGTGAAAGGTATTATTGCTTAGGTGCAGCCGAAGTTAACAGTTTTTTTTTTTAGTTTTATTTTTGCTTCGACTTTGAAATAATTATATTGAAGCTTGAATGATGAGTATTACGTCATCTATAGTAATTTATTGTTCAGCGCTTTTATGATCGCCTGTAGTGTTGTTCCGCTTACTGCTTAGAAATTATATGCATACATATTTATATGCATGTGTGTAGTAGTGTACATATGATTTAGCTTTTCTAATAACTGAAATGTTCTCTACTTTATTTTTTTTTCAGAGATGATCGCGTAGGTTCGCGCACCTACGATCGATATGATACACGTGGTTATGATCGCTACGATCGCCGTGGTGGATACGATCAGGATCGTTATGGCGATTATTCTCGTGGTAGTATTTTGAATTTAATTCCTTATTTTTATTTATATATAATAATAATTAAATTCTGCCAGATCGTTATTATGAGCGTCCACGCGGTAGCGCCTATGATCGTGACTACTACGATCGCTCCTCCTCATCGCGTTATGATTACCGCAATTATCGTCCTTTCGATGAAACCTACAGGTAATGTGTCGTATTTTATTGACATTTTTTGTACATTTTTTTGCTTTGCAAATGTATGTCGTAGTAAATGTTTTTAACTCTTACATATACGTTTGTATATATGTATGTATGTTTCGCCTTTAACCACTTTTTACTTATATTTTAAATATGCAATTTCTCTCTTCCTATTCTCATTGCATATTGTCTTTACTACCGTCACTGTAAAAATACTGCAAAACAACAACAATACTAAATTTTAATATGTACATATGTATGTGTCAAACAACAACACCAAAAACTCTCTGCCTTACCGCTGACTCTACACTTTGTTGCACTTGAATTTTTCTCAACTAAACAAATATACAAATATATGTGTGTGATTGTATGATATGTATGGTAACAACAAAACCACTGCTTTCAACGCACGCAAACGCACACGCAAACCTTTACAACAAATTGTGCATCATTTATACCAACGCTGTGCCCCGTTGCTCCACTTATAACGCAACTGTAGAGGGCAATCGGGATTTGACAATTCCGGACGCGGTTATTATTTCGCGAGCGAAGATAACGATCGTCAACGTTTCCCGAGCAGCAAATCTGGCTACGATCAGCGCGCTTCCTCTTCACCCTGTGGCGTACGGGTCACTGATTGTCCCTACGCTTCCAGAGGAGGCAGCGCTGGTAGTACAACACAAGTAACCTCTCGGCCCATAACTAGCCAACATGGCTATGATTACGGTTACAGTTATGGTGCGGGAAGTAGTCGTAGCGATGGAAGTGGCGGTAGTGGAAGCGGCGCAGGCGCTGCAACGCGCAACACAAGTGCAAATAATAGCAGTAATTCTAGTAGTAGTCAAGGTTGGAACTATGTAGATGAGCGCGATAAAGCGTCAAGTGCACGGGGGAACGGTAGGGATGAGAATAGAGGACATGAGCGGGAGCGTGAGCGTGACAGGGATCCGCAGAGGTAAGTTGTAGTTGTTGGTGTTTGATGAGGTGTTGGTTTATATTAGTTGTCTTCGATTGGTGATTTCTTTGCTCGCTATCGTAGCTCTCTTGTCAAAAAAAATTGTATGCAAGAGCAACAACTAAGTTAGCGAGTTGAATTCGATACAAGAGATAACTCATTAAAGTGGTATAACCGCTATCTTCAATGTTATCAAGTTTTCTTTTACAAATTTTACACCAGATTTATTATTGTGATTTTTTCTACACATTTTATCTACTTTAGACTTCAAAGAAATTGTAATTCTTTATAAAAACCGTAGTGCCAGTTTGGTTGAACAACTGGTATAGTTTGTTCGATTCGCTTCTCTCCAACGCTTGGTGAATCGAAGACAGCTTTGATTACCACAAGATGAAATTCGTGAAACAAGTCCATATAGAACGAAAACTTCTATAATTATCGACCTCTCCTTCCAAAAAATAAAATTTAACACTAGGAACGCAATTGCAAATCGAAAATAGTATCTCACTGTTCCAGAAATTTTTGTTTTCATTATCCTCCATGTTTTCTTTAAGAAATCACTTATTTGTCCCTAAACCTGCTAACCATAACAAAACACATTAATCTAACAAATAAGAGACGAATTTCGTTGGCACCTGCTTGTAATCTCACAGTGAATGGGTAAAATAATTTAAAGAAGGCTTCTACTCCTCTCACCTCTTACAGCTCTTCCTACGGTAGCCGACCGCCACGTCCATTAGGTGGCAGCTACCTCTTCGACCGGGACTCGAATGTGGTAGGAGATGAAAAAATGGCGGAAAATGCAGCAGATAAGGATACCAGTGGTGGCAATGCTGATGGCGTCAGCAATATCTTGTCGTCATCAATGGCTGCCAAACAAAATCGTGATAAGAATAATAGCGGCGGTGGCGGTGGTGGAGGTAGTGATGGCGGCATGGCAAATTCAATGCAAACGCAAACGATTGTCAGGGATATGCAATGAACAGATCATCAAAATCAAATATGATAAAAAATATATAAAAATAATAATAAGAGAAAAAATATTATTTACTGTAAACTTTTTCTAAATACAAATATTTTGTAAATTAATAATCAGAGAATGGAAAATATATGTATGCAATGTGTGAAGCAAAAGAAAAATTTCAATCTCCAATAAAGCGTTTTGTAAATGTAAAACCATTTACGGCAAAATTTGTATAAAAACTATTTGTTGTTTTTATGATAAAGAGGAAAAGTCATTTAGAAGATTTCGAATTTTAGTTCTATTGTTTTTTTAAAAAATATATTGAAGACATCTTGATTTTAAGTAAACTTCTTAATTGCCAGTGCTTTATAATAGATAACGCCAAAAAACCCGGTTCATATTTGACATTAAAAAAATTTCACAAAAGTTTAAGGAAATTAAAATCATTCCAGAGCCACCTTAATAGTACCGGCATTGATAAGAATGAATTAGAAGATATAATTGTAAATCCTAGACTAAATTGTTTTTAAAAGAGATATCGATTTGATCTTTCAGATGCAGTGAAAAGAAGAGAAGGTAATAGAAGAGAAGAAGAGAGCTATTTTTCAAGCAAGTGAGAGCTCTTTTATCCAACAGATAAACTCCGGAGAAACGGCAGTGTCGGTTTTATCTGGTTTATTGCGTGAACCCTTTTAAAATGTGAAGACAGAATAAATAAAAAAAATAAAATTTCATGTAACTAAACAGCTGTGATATACAAGGAGTGAACGAGGAACGTTAATGTAAACGTTATCATAAATTATTAGATTAATACGCTACTATTATTGGCTATATAAAAATACAACAATACTAAAAAATCATCGAAGTTGGGTTAGTTGAATGCAAACTGCGTAAATGAGATGTAACGAAGTTACGGGCTGAATATTGTCGGACGTTTGCAGGGCCGCTGAGCAGACCCCGGTATTATTTAAAGGGGAAGCGATGAAGTGCTCATTATTGGTTATTGGAGAGAATGATATATGACGCTTACAAAAAAGAGCGATAGTATGTCGCTTGCGTAACAAGTTTTCTAAAGGCATTCAAATACATACAAAATTTAACTGTCTCTGTGGCGTAAAGAACTACTGTTTGTATATTTGTAAGCCAATCAATCATTCGGTCTTATTTTATCTTACATGGCATTTACTTTCTATCATGATGGCAAATCGTACAAACAATGGTATAAATGCAATAGCCGATGATAAGCGCAAGCCCAAGTAGGGAATCTTAACTGTTACAACAATACATTTCCGTTAGCGGTCATGTTTTCTGTTAAAATTTCTCAACACATAAAATGACGCATTTATTTGTTCGCCAAATACCGTTTGGAGTGTCAAAAATGCTTTATCAGCGTGGTCACCGCGTGCTGATAAGGAGCATAAAAAACCGGTATCGTTTATCGTGAATAGGTTACGTCGAGTGCTTACGTTTGCATGCGCGTCATTTACAAGTTGGGAACAGCAGTGCGATGTTGGCGCGTCCATATCAACGTTCAACACTCTGTGTTATCGGCATATTTGTTGTATTTTATTATTTATACTGTAAGCTCTACGTGTTTCCTTTTGTAAGTGTGGCAACTAACTAAAATGAATTTAGAAAACAACTTCTACAATATATTTCAATCCACTGATGCAAGAAAGTTTGTGTGCGCGTATTTTCATTTCAACGATTCTATATTTGTTTGGAAGTATGCATTGTAGGCGTCTGACGCAAGTGGGCGCGCCACTATGGAATTTTTGTAGAAATGACGCGAGACACCCACGCGGCGGCTATACCGCGCTGCTTAGCGCGCGCGCATTTTATGGAAAAGTGAATGCGCTTTGAGAAAATTCAGAAACGAAAATGAAAACGTGCAGTAAAGTGAATTTTCGCCTATTTTTATATGTGGATGTGTAGCAGAAGTATTTACAAAGCAAATAATCCACGCGTCATTAATATACAAAATGCCAAAACCTCAGCGCTCAGGCTGGCTAAAGGAGACATATTGTTTGGCTTTTATTTTGCTATATATTTCAATTAATTTTGTGCTTTGTGCTTTACTGTTGTCCATGTTTTATTTTTCATTTCTCCGACACATTTGTTAGACTAAAAATAGCGCGAAACATCTCATCAAAATTCGAATTAATATAAAGCATGTGCTACATTTACAAGTCGAACGCGCTCGCGATACCACTTTCGTGCATAAGGCGTGGAAATGAAAGTCCTCAGAAGAGTTGCGCCGCTTTTCGGTTTAGTATTTTGCTCGCTTTTGCGCGTCCAGTCGGAATGGGTTACAAATGCTGCGCGCTGAACAACTTTGAGTGATAAATAGCAACTATTTTCAAATACCTAGTGCAATGATATCAACAAGTGTTTTTTCAAAAGTGTTCATTCATTTTGTTTCACAAGTGTGAATAGATAACAATAAAAGTAATCGATATATTAGGGTGTGTTAAATTTATGAATGATACGCATGTATATATATTGTACGCGAATTCGTGATAAAAATTGTGTGTTATGTTTCGCTCTGGTTTTTAATAGATGAAATTAGGTGAAATACACTCAAAATCAAATTTGACTCGTAATGGTCTATTTAAACTGTGCGCGTTAACCGAATCAATAAAGAATTTTTGGTTGGAATGGTAAAACCTTTTTTATCTCCGTATGTTAATTAGTGTGTGTTTAGCTGCTGTTTATTTACGATGGCAAAATTTTGTCTGGCGATTTTTATATATTGGGTCAATAGACTCACGAAGCAGATATTTCAGTTTCGAGAACCAAAAAAAGTTACAGGGAGGCAAATCTGGCGAATGCGCTGTCTAAGCGATGACGTGTTTGGCCAAAAAGTCAGACACAATCATGCTAGAATCGGACGATGCAATCACGTCTTTTGTTACGAGTCAGATTGTTCGGTCGAGATATTGAAATTGTCTGCTATCTTTCTGATGCTTAGAAGACGGTTATCAACTACTACTACTACACTATTGTTTTTAACTTTTAGTATTTTATCGTCAATAAACGAGGTTGGTTAATGACTCGCATGAGGCAAGTTATCGATAGCGTCATAACGTTCACTTAATGTGCCACATAAAAACACACCTGCATAATACATATTGGCGATATGGACTTTATAAACCATTTTAGTCTGCCTTTCGTTAGTTTTTAAAATCTCTAGTTTTTCCTTAACAATTTCCAAAATTGATTTTGACTTCTCAAGTAATTTTCCAAGATCTTTGGAAACTGTTTTGGTCAAATCATTGTTATATATTGAAATATAGTGTCATTATAAGCACGCCTATCTCCTGAAATACGGTAAAATTATAATAAAAATAGTTTTTGAAGGGTTGCCAATGTGACGCCTTTAAATCGAGTGAAATTTTCCGATCCCTTAGAGAAATAAATAAACTTTGCTGTATATTCATCTTCGAAAATGTGTATGCTCCAAAAGTAAACAATTTATAATAATTTGGAATCTTATAGTTTTTAAAAATCTTAAATATTAAATGATATCGAATTAACATGTTTGTAACCGTAGTAAAAAGAACAACCCTACTAAATAAACCGATATTATTCAATTGGTTATTACGGCAATAATAATCAATAACGTTGTCGCAAATATAGCAAAAAAAAAACACACACACATGAATTATTAAAAAACCTTGCCTGAGGCAGCAGCACGAGTAATCACAATAAAAACAAAAAACAGCAAGCCTAAACACACAACAAACACAAACGCGTCTGCCCAAGAAAGCCAACGATAATTAAATAGTAATGTCCGTGAGAAAAATGTCAGCTTTGCTTTTGTTGGAATGACCAAAGTTGCTTAAGAACCGCAAATGACAAGTAGACAGTAGAAAAAAGAAAGCTTAACAAGCGTGCGTTCGACCAGTTAAGCAACAACGGCGCGCGCGATACGTAGCATATGCACAGGCGCTTGTGCAATAAAAATCAAAGGCGTATTAAGAAATCGGTCTAGTGAAGTGTTGAAAAATAATTAAAATTTTTTAGGGAATTTCTATAAAATTAATTATTATTATTTAATTATTAATCTGCGCTGAAAAAAGAATTTAATCAGTGAAGAAATGCTATCGAGCAATGGCAATCAAGCGCAGTATGCGTACTTTCTGCTGTCGGCCGCAGTGGCATTAGCCATCATTATACTCGCCTACGTGTCAGTGCGCACAACACTTGTAAGCAATATATAAAGGACAGCTATTCACATACATATATACATACTAATGCATGTGTATATGACAAAAGTAGGAGAAGCAAAATACAGCTAAAACTTTTAATTAGTGTTATTATGTGTATTTTATGGCTTAATACGTTTCTTATACTCGCAGGACTCAAAATTGCGCGAAGATCTAAGCTCTCTACAAAAATCCTACATTTATATAAAACCATCATGGGGATACAACAATTCTTGGCGGCAAATAGGCAGCAAGGAAAAACATTTGATTTATTCAGCATACTTCGATGATCGATTGGATGTGATCGGTGAGTGTGTGTAGCACCAGCAAAGTTGGTAACCGTTGCTCTTATCTAAATGTTGTACATTCTTAATCAGTCAAAGAAAAGTGCTTAATACAATAATTTAATATTTAAATAACTTGTTTCGATATGTGGTAGCTCCATTTTAAAATTTGTTTAGGTAAAAGAATTTAAGAATACCTTTTTCACAGAATTTTGTCCATATTTTTTGATATTTTTCACAATTATTTTCAAAACCATTCTAAACTTACTCTAAATTGATGACTTCAAGTTTTCCGAACTACTATTTAGCCTTTCATGTTTACGTAAAAAGATATAAAGATTCAATTTTAATAAAAAAATCAGATCCTGGCTCTGTAACTGTAAGCTCTAAACATAAAAGCTTTGATATCGAAGATATTGGTTAAGTAGGAAAGGGTTTCCCTTAACTTCTATACGGAGAGAATCTGTATTGAGTCTTGAACTAGAAGTTTTTTATGAAAGTATATATTATCGGATTCACAACCGATAACTTTCTGTCGGCTTCGGGCTGTATCTTGTTGAACGGTCATTACAGCTTTGATGTAAAGGGCGTGGAATACAAATAAATTTAGATTTTGGCCATATTGCTTTCGACGTAACCCGCAGCCGTCATTGAGGTTTATGCCGGCTTAAGAAAAAAATGTGGGAGGAGAGCTTCCGTTCATATAAATACAAAATATAGATTACAGTTTAATAGTAAGTTCCACTGTGTCTCCTTCAAACTATTTGATTTCCTTGGAAATATTAGAAATCTGTTCGGGTCTCTTAAATATCTTTCAATATAAAAAAATGCATAAGATTGAATATATTATTTGTCTCCACTCTTTATGGCAATTCTAATATATAAGATTAATAATATATAGGCACTACATTACATTATGCAATATTCATATTCAAGTAACTAACCAAATAAATATTTCAGAAACAATAAACGACCACAAGACGAAGGTGCCAATAGGCACTTTGCGTATTATCGCCATTTTACCACGAGAATTTAAAGAGGCCATAACCTGCACCATCAGGTATTTACTAATTACCATTACTAACATATTAAAGTATTAGACCTAATCGAAAAAAAATCATTCTATGTTCACACAGATTCGAGGACTTTGTTGATAAAAGCGTCCCAATTGGAAAAGTGCAACCATTGAACGAACATCATGACTACAAGTACGCGGCTTACTCCATTATGTGCCCACTCTATGTAAATCGTAACAGCACTACAATTCATCTGCCACAATCGGTTGCGATTTCTTATCCCTCCAACAGGCTAAGCCAACTGAGTCCGACATTTGTACCGATCAAGTGGGTGAAGTACTTGTTTACGCTGTTTCATATATATAATATATAATATTTCTATACTTTCAGCTACCCGCGCGATATAGACCAATTGTTCGCCAGATCACGTCCGCTGGTCTCGGTGTGCGTCGGGCCGCTGCAACAAAACTATTCGGATGTGTTGCGCGTCGCTGAATTCGTCGAAATGTATCGCATACTCGGCGCTCGACACTTCTACTTCTATCATCTCTCCGCTAGCGACGAAGTGATGCGTCTATTACGGTATTATCAAAGTGAAGGCATCATCGATGTGCTGCAATGGAATGTGCCCGCTGAACTGCTATCTCAGGTGCATTACGCGGGAATTATGGCACAAATCAACGATTGTGTATATCGCGCTATGGTTGTGGACAACTATCGATATGCAGCCACTGTTGATCTGGACGAGATACTTATACCATTGAAACACAATTCGCTGGCGTTTTTTCTGCGGCAATGCGATGAGGGACGTACCTCGGCGTATGTCTTTCGTAATGTTTTCTTCTTTAAGCTCGACAGTAACGACAGCTTCAGTCTGCCGGCTCACACGCATAATCGTTTCCTTTACACACAAATGAAGGTGCGTCGCACTTTGGAGGTTATGCCCACACATCAGCGCAGCAAATGCATTGTGAATACACAGTCCATTATCGAAATGGGTAATCATTTTGTATGGCGCAGTGTACCGGGTTATACGGAGACGACTCTGCCCCTAAGTGTGGGTCTACTATTCCATTACCGCGATCAGTGTATCAACTGCAAGGCTCCACTGATGGTCGACTACACGGCACGTCGATTCGGTTCGTTGATTTGGGATCGTGTGGACGAGACTTGCGGCCAAGTGTTTACCGAAAGTGGCATATGCGTGACGTAGGGCCTGCAGATAAAGTAAACATGCCAATACAAACAAATGGAAGACTTGAAAAAATTTAGTGTTCTTAGCTCTAAGATAGTACAATAGATTCGTATATTTATAGTCAGTTTTATATACAATAACTAAGCTTTAAGTAAAATAGTACCTAAAGAAATAATTATAAATTAATAATAGAAAAATATATAAAAGAACAAAAGATATTTGACCTAATGGAGTGTATTTCATCGATGGCTCTATAATTTTCTATTTCCGAATTAAAGTTTTAGTTCTTCGATCGAACAAGAAAAGTATATATATGAACAAATGATATTCGACTTAACGGACCGATCGCTCTATATAATTTTTTTTCAAACCTGAAGCTTTAGAAAAATTACTATTGTTCTTCGATCGATTTCGTTCTATCGAAACAATTATGCTCGGGAATACTCAGAGCGCTTTAACCATCAACGCTTGAAGATTGACGCTAGGATTTCATGCCGTATAAATGGTCAATGAATAGTATGAAAATTAAACGTAAAAAAAATAAAAAAATAAATTTAAAGGACTCGAAGGCCCACAATACAGACCCCCTTGATCCGCCACTGGTATAGTTTTAATTGGTTTTTGCTGATAATTTTTCAATCTTATCACATTCGGCTAAATTTGTGAGTGAGTGAATGAGACCCGATGTGCGATTTTGTTTAGACGGTTGTAAAGAGAACTTGCAATCATTTCAAATTGAGTTTACGCCCATCAAAATTGAAAATAGAAAGAGTGAAGTGAATGTGATCAGTTCTTTTTTGAAACACAACTTGTTTAGTTAGACAGTAACTGTAAAAATAAATTGTGATGCTAAAATTTCGCACCTCAAAGTTGGCTAAAACGGAGAATCTTAAGGTGAAATTCGCAAAGTAATCAAAATAAAAAATAATACTAATATAGATGTATCATAAACGCTTGCAGAATGAAAAAACGCAGCTCGACGATAAACAATTGGTGCAGCTCATACGTGCAACACCCGCGCGCAGTTCGCTAATTTTGGCGCTCAGTTGGTAAAGTTGGGCTTAAAGAGTGAAGTTTAGGGGTATTTTTGTGGAACATATTTTCAGTTTAAATTTAAAAAGATTGTATTTCATAATACTGCAAAGTTTTAGTTTCACAAAATATTTAGCATAAATTTAATTTGTTTGTTAAAATATCAATATTTAAATAATTATTATTTCTTTTTAATTTTTTTAAATCAAAATTTTAAAATTATAAAATCATACTATTAATTATACTTCAGTTTGTTTTCATTTAATGTTTTTTTTTGTAATTATACTCACGCCCCTCGTAGCAATCAGCCAGCTGAGCGTTGCAGCAAGTGCGGAAATTTAAATGAAAAATTGACAACTAAGAAAACAAAAGCAACAAACACAGCAGTAGTACGCAGCAACAGTGGTAAGTTAGCTAAATTTAATTATACTAAATTATTATTATATATAGAAAGAAATTTTTATATTTTGTTAAGATTTCTTGAAAGTGCAAATGGCAAGCTATGTTCAGACTGATCTTGATATCAGAGACGTTTTCCGAATATTCCTCTTGAAAATTTGTTTATCTATAAAATTTAAACTTCTGAAATAGATGGCAACTCTGATTTTTCCCAATTTTAATATATTTAAAACTTAAGGTTATCTTAAATGAATATTACTATGGTGATATTTTATTTTTTTAAGTAATACAATTTTTAAGGATTATGTAAAAAATTTTGAATTTCAAACTACTATAAGAAAATAAAAAAGGAGTTATGAAATAAATGTAATGCGGAATAGAATCGCATATATGTAGCTATATTAGTAGAATCTTATCTTTATTAAGGGGGTCCTCTACCTTCGCGATCAAATTTCGAGCATATTTTGACGATGAATTGCAAAAAACTACAAACGATATTTTCCCAATTTTTTTATTATTTTCATTTCATTCATTAATTGTTGAAATAGAAAAAAACTGTTTTGACGGTGTGAGGTAGCCGACTTCAGCTTCAGAGCCTCGAATCCAAAAAAAAAAATAATTACTTGATGCTTATAATTCCATTCATGACACAAGCTTTTATGAAAATCTTTCTCTTTGAGAATTTTTTTTGGCGAGAATCATTGATATAACAAAACGTAATGTTTACTGCGGCACCACAATGAGCCGTTTATTCTTTGGCATAGTTCTTACAACAGAAGGATTTCTGTGAATGCAATTTTTGTATGAAGATACATATGTGTTACATATGGACTTATAGGTATGTAGGTATGTATATATCGGTTTCTGTCTCACATTCTCTCTTATTTTCCTGCTTTCCGTTACTCCATATTAAATGCTTTTACAAAATTCTTTAGAATTGCCAACATTCATCAACTGATAGTTCAATATTAGTTGTACATGTATACATATATACATAGCAACATATGTAGTCTTTTATTAATAAAGCGCTTTGTAATTATTAGCAGAAGCTAAACGCAGCAGAATGGGTTTATTGTTAAGCTTCGCTGAATGGGAGTATATTTTTGTTGTTGTTGTTGTTGTTGTTGTTGTTGTATGCTTTCTATTTATTCCCATTCTAAACACATACCGAACATAAGTAAGAATGTCCATATATACAGATATATCTATAAACTTTAGCAGTCATGTGAGTATATATATTCGATCATTTGTCCATCTGGCAAACTGTAAATTATAATTTCAGTGACGTGCCTTCACTGACAGATGAGCTAATAAATGTCACAACAGAAATATGTTGACAATCTACACTGACAACTGCTCCATATGATGATTTCATAAAGTTTATATTAAATGTTTAGTTCATGCTAGGTCCACTCTAAAAAATGCGTAATAGGATAGAAATATGTAACAGATAGATAATAGTATTTATGTTTCTTGGATGCTTTCTCTGTTACTTACAGACAAAACAGATTGCGCTATATACCAGTGTTCTCGATTAACACTGGTTATATCTCCTAGAGCTTAAATAAAAACGAGAAAAACATTAACTTCGGTTGCAACAAAGCTATAATACACTTCATAAAAAATTATTCAAGAACTTGAGTTTGATCGGTTAGTTTGTATGGCAGCTCTATGATATAGTAATATGTTATTGACATTTCCGGAAAGGAAAGAATGTGTGCAAATTTTCAAATTGGAATCCTTAAAACCGAGCACTAGTTCGCGTAAGTACCTTTAAAATTACATATAAACTTTTCACTTATTCAATAATTAGTGATTTCGTATATTTTTTTTAGACTTTTTTAAGCAATGGACATTTAAATTTAATTTTCACATTTTTGACATACTTATATCATTTTCTTTATTCACTTATTATATTATTTTAAACCGGTCTTTTATCGACTGAATGTTGATATCTCAAAGTGTACGACAACAACAAATTGCTACTCAGCAGGGTCTAGGATGACACTCATTTGTAAAGAATTTCTTAAATTCTTGTTTGCACATCTCTTCACCGTCCGTATTTATGATGATAGAGGGTTCTCCTAAAGAAGTTGGAGGATTTAAGAAAAAGTTTTCTTCCATATCTGCTATGTAATCGCCTCTGATTGGGATATCTGCTAAAAATAGTTAAATAAATGAAATATTGAAATGTAAAATGTAAACAGTCGGAATTCTTCACCCGGATAAAGACCATCCAATTCTTTGTAATTATTTTGCTCTTCATCTTCCAAATAGACCGTTTTGCCGCTGTCATAGTCCAATATACGCGACTCTATGACTTTTATAGCTCTTGCCAGTACTTCGGAATGGTCCTCAGTCACATGATGTTCCGACGAACATTTTATCATTTTCGCACCCACGTTTTGCCATGAGTAAATACCCTCCAGATGGGCAACCATGTTCGCATAAAAAGCTGACCTGAACTCTCTTTTGATTTGTTCGGGCGTTTTGAAAAGCTCCTTGACCTGTACTATTCTTCCTTCTAAAATTATTTTGAAATTATTTTATTAAATTGTTGCCTCCAATTTGGCGGATTAATACAAAAAGGTAACTTCCTACACGCCAACATATACATAACACACACACATATATATAAAGTTTTAGTTGTTAGAATACATAAAGATCGAGAAAATGAAAGCTACAAACACGTCTAACATTTTTTGTGACGTAACAAAGCTTCATATCACTGCACGAGAGTTTAGGTTCTAGGTCTAACAAATATCTAGTAATATTTTACAACGAGCATATTATTTGTTCACCAAGTTCTTTAAGTTAATTTTAAATTTTACCATCAGATATGTTTGCACCATGTTCATCTACAATTACGAAACAGTCAGAATTATTTTCGATGCTATTTAGCTGTTCTATGTCTGTTTTGCGAATACTCCTGAGTTGCTCCCTCATTGTACGGATGTCTATGAAAAGATATTAAATATAAATTACGTAAGTAAATCCAAAAACCGGTATAAAAAAATACAACCGGTGCAAAATTCAAAGTAAAGAAGAAAAAACGGTATAATACCCATCAAAAATACAACGGTTCCTTACAAGAACTTGATTTCGATCGTTTAATTTGTATGGCAGCTATATGATATAATCAACAATTTCTGCGGAGAATAGATAGTTGCCTTTAATAATCCGTGCCTGATTTCGTTAAGAAAACTCGTCAAATAAAAAAGTTTCCCATAAAAGACAAATGAGCGGCTTTTTAGTGAGGAAAGGATAGGTGCAAAATTTCCAGTCGATAGCTTAAAAACTGAGAGACAAGTTTGTATATATACAAACAGACGGACATGGCTAAATCAACTCAGCCCATCATGCTGACCATTTATGTATATATATTTTATAGGGACTCCGACGTTTAATTCTGGGTGTTACAAACTTCGTGGCAAACTTAATATACCCTGTTCAGGGTATAATAAATATAAGTATCGATGTGTAGCTGTTTTCGATTCGCCCAAAAATAGGAGAGTGTCGCAATGAACAATCAACTGGCATAAATTAAATACAAGAAGACTGTTGCTATCCAAATTTAAATTGAGATCGAATAGAATGTTTATACACACGCGAAAAAACCTATTATATCAAGGAATATTGTATTTGACTACATATACGTGTATACTAATTATTTTATTTACCTCTTCGAATGCCTTCCTGTACATAATCTAATTTTGAAAGCTTAGCGCGTGCGTGTGGGCTTATAACATACCCAGCTAATCCAATTTTTTGTTCTTCTTCTATTTTTACAATTATTCCACGCAACTGGCAAACTTTCAAAATTATTAGCATATCCTCAATATCAGTTTTGCTGTTGTTGCCATTTTTTGGTATGGGTTCTGCGGTTGCTTCTAAATCCTCCGCCTTGTAAATGCTCTGTAACTTCGGGATTTTCAATATGTTGTTGCTATAAAAGGCATCTGCGAATGCATCTTTGAGTTGTGAATAAAACGTCGAACCAACTTAAACCAAAAATAGTTGGGTGAATCCATCGAGAGTAGATTGATAGTAGTGTGAGGGTATTTAATATTGCTTTACAAAGCGCAAGCTCGCAAATTTTTACATTAATAAAAGTAAACTTTTATTTTAAATTGAATTTATGTGCTCACTTACAATTAGGTTTTCGATTAGCACGACTTGTAGACGGTTTTTCCGCATGTAGCTCCAGCAACTGGTGTCTGATAAGGAATTGTGTAACATGGCTTTGTACAAGTTGCCTCGACATTTCGGTAAGTTCTTTTTCGTTGACAGATGTAAGAGGTTTGCCTTTTGCCTTTCCCTTACCCCTTCGGCCCATTTTCATTTAAAGAGGTGAAGGTCGCTGAATACTTTTTTTATTATTGTTATGTTATCCAAAGATGAAACTATTTTTGTTTGATTTTTTTATTTTCCTTTTTAGGAACAATATTCTTTTTTAAATTTATTGGAACGTTAAAACATTAAGACAATTCTTGTGAAAAACGATTATGCCTGTAATAAGAAAAATAATATGGCAAATAATTGTGGTTTTCCAGCGCTCGTACTTCTACACGTTCGCCAAATCGATAAAACAGTTGAACGCTGCACAAAGAATAATGCAATTTTTTACGGTTACTTTTAGGGTAAAGTGAACTATATGAAAGAAGGTGTTCAGAACATAAACAGCAGAAAATAATATGAAAACAATACAGTTCGAACAAAAAGCTCAAAATTGACATAAGTATGCCTTAACTTTTTCGTACTTAATAAATAAAGTAATTTTATTTTGTATTATATTTTATGTATGAAGACATATGTAAAATCTGTTGCAAAATTTAAAAGTTTCATTAATTTGTCCCTAAGTTAGAGCTGCTTGTCTTCCCGGCCGTCGGTATAAACGCCAAATAGTTCCCCTGCATCGATCTAAATCTCACATTTGCTCAAATCCTCCAAGAAGCTACTCATTTGTCGGAACCGCCGATATCGCTTCACTATAGGATAAAGCTGCCTTACAAACTGAACAATCAAAATCAAGCTTTTGTATAGAAAACTTTTTTATTTGTGAAGGGTATTATAGCTTTGGTGCAACCGAGTTTAACGTTTTTTCTTGTTTAATTTATGTTTAAAGTACAGCTCAAGCTAAGCTTGTATTTAAATACTATTCATTGTCAGTTTATAATGACTATAATTACCAATCATGTATTCATTAATTTTATAGGATTTTCTAAATATCATTTAACCCTCACACTTGCTGTTTTACCTGCCAACATTTCACCACTGACCTATACTTCGCTGTAACGTCATTTGTTTCATTTAAAAAATTAAGATCAAAGCCGAAGCCGCTCTCTAGAGTAAGCAGCCATATGTAGCTCTCAAGCTAAAGCTTGTTATTATTACATAAATACACATTCTTCATTTGTGCAAAGAAATAATTTTATTCTGCCCTCTGCTTTTGACGCAAACGATTTTTTACCCTGCATACCCGCAAAAACAACAACCACGTAAATTATTGTCAGACAGCGCCGCTGAGTAGTCAGTGCGAACATTTTATTGTTGTTGTCAGTGCTTAGTCGAAACCCTAAATTCGCCAGCCTCCCAGTCAACAAGCAACCAACCGTTCATCCATCTATCTATCCGACCAGACAAATATACTCATTCATATACAACCGACCAGCCGGTTAGTGAATCAGCGCAAAAGTGTTCTCGTTCCGATCAGTTGTGAGTTAATGTTATATTTTTATTGTTGGAAACAAGAAAATACATGGACAGTTCCTACAGTGGTGTTGAATTGAGCAAATATCGGGTGATTATCAGATCAATAATATAACGATTTACTTGATCAGTGACTGCTAAACATGATTTTCAGCTTAGCTGAAGTGGTGCTGCCCTATATTATATAGCCGAAGCTAAAAGTGTCTTCAAAGATTTTGAATATGTTACAGTACCATATGAGAGCTTTATTAGCTCTCCAGACACATTTCTTGTAAGCATAACCCTTTGATTTTATGCTTGCCCGGAACGATTAATTGAGCGCTTACTTTCGATACCTCGAAATAGTTCGCAACTAATATTCCAGAAGGTGTCGAGGAGCGCAATTTAGTTTATTTGTCTTTGTTCTACAGATATGAGAACCCCATAAAGTGCATGAAGCTCCATACCAAAATTATAATAAATCCGTTCTTATATGAAATTACACTTTTCCACCCACTGTATGGCCTGTTGATTCTAAGTTCAAATCCACACTTCGATCAGTCAACGAGCTGTATGGTGGTCGGTGGTGGTTCTGCAGATACGCTGAGCCCAGCAGCGCGCCTAAGTTCGTGAATGCTGATATGATACCGTCGACGTTCGTCTCATCTGCCGACGCCACCGACGACTACAAACTACAGCGGTATATTGAGTGATGGTGGTGGTAACGCTGTTTTCTGACTAAGCGAGCGACACTGCCTGCTCGCCTGCTTGCTAGCCAAACGGCTGACGCTGACTGAGTGGCTGTTGGGTTGGCTCGTTGGTGGGCTGTTTGGTTGGTTGCTTGCTTGGATGTTTGGCTGTTTCGAGCCCCTCTGAACTTCAGCGACCGCAGCAAATGCTTTTTCAGTTATATTATAAGTTTCGTCAAGTCAAGTCGCGTTGATTACGAGAGGGTCTCTGTTCATGTTTTGTTGTGTGTCGCTGTCGCTGTCTCTGCCGATGAACGCATCTCGTTTACATTCGTACGTGTGTGTTGTAATACGAAATTTGCAAAAACAAAATAAAGTTATATTATAAATAAATAAACAAAAGCAAAAAAAATTTGTAGTAAAAAGTCAGCTGTCGGCAGCAACAACAACACGGTTGTACTATAACCTGCAAAAATTCTCGACGTAAGTGATTAATTATATTTTAAGCTTTATTATTACATTTTGCCTCTTTTTCGTGTTTTTTCATTGTTATTTAACAATAATTAGACACAGATAGGGTTAGAATGATTACAAGAAAAAAAACACATATTAATTAGTGAGATAAGTGAGAAAATACTGAAAACGGTTAAAAAATTGTGTGAATAATTTTTTTTTGTTTTTTAGGTTTGTGAATGAATGCGCACGTGTGTGTTTGTGTATACGTTTGCTGCTATTATTCCCTGTGTGTGCATATGTGTGTATGCATGTGTATATGTATTTGTATGCGAATTGATTAGCATTTCTATTTGAACGCTCAAATGAACTTGCGCTGTGTTGTTTGTGTGTGTTTTGTTTTGTTTTTGCTCAGTCGACAACAAAGTGTCAAGTACAGCGACGATAAGCGCAACAGGTATTTACTTAGTTTGAAAGAAAAGCAAAGTCAAAAAGTGAAATCCACACCGCCCAACGGCGCCATCCTACAGGGCACGCGTTCGAATAACTTTCAGCATTTATTCACGCAATTCAAACGACCAGCGATGGTGCAACTATTTACACGCCTACAACAACAACAATCACAACATATGCAGTAATAGTGATGGCAACATTGACAACAACAATAATAAAAAGAAAACAAGAAAATCAAAAGCGCTAGTAAACAGATAGTACACTAAGCGCTAATCAAACGGATTATCACCCATAACAAGCGCAACGCGCGCAGACTTAAAAAGACTATTTCACATACCCACATATATACCAATATATGTATACAATGTTTTTTAGAAGAAATGATGGTACAATACGCATTTGTCTAGTTATTTGTTCGTAAGCATGTCGATTATAAAAAGTGCGAACAGTGTGTGGCATAAAAATGGACACACTTTAGATAGAGTTGGTAAGATGATTGATTATGGCGATCAACTTCTATGGTACACCCTATTATTACAACAATTTTCTTGGAAATGATTTCAATTCTATTGTTCTATTTCTTAAAAAGCAAAATGTCACCTTTTTTCTAAACGTAGATTCTTCAAGTAATCACTAATAACCAATAGAAACTTAGTAGGTATATTTTGCAGCTATTTTGGTAAAATAATTTACAAATTATATTTATAAACCGATCTACATTTCAATATCTAAGTCACGCGTTATTCTTTGTAGACAACCAATAGTCTTGAAACTCGTTGAAATAATTAGAAGAAGTATTCTGCTTTGAGTTTGTAACTCTTCATCAAGACGAATTTGATAACATAGGTTTTAATTTATGGACAGTTTAACATCTAACTTCTACTAAAAATTGTTTTAATACCATCTTTTATTCAGGATTGGACTGAAACCGTTCTCTAGTTATGGAATTATCGATAATTAAAAAGGAGCTTGGTGCGCATCACCTACAAGTATTTAGCTCGATAGAATAATTATTTTCCAGCAATGCTCAAAATGGTTGTATACTTGTGCGACCCAAAATTGTATAAGCCTTTATTTTCGAATCACCTATATATTTGTAAATAATACATTTTTCTGATTCACGCATGGTATTTTTCCAGAATAGGTCACATTTTTAGAATTTTTCTTAGCTCACTAATACATTTTCAAAATGTTCCTATTCTTATGTTCGAAGCTGTACATACTATTTTGTCAAATTATTCTAATTTGTTGATTCTGCTGACTGTAGAGATTTAAAGCAATAAAAGTACACTAAAAAAATAATTATGATATTGCTTAAAAAAAAAACTATTGAGAAAAGGTATTGAAGATATGAAATGTGAACAATCAAGTGTTGCCTTCACGGTGTGTTCCCTATAAATAAAGGTATTAGTCGATTTTTGTTTCTCGGTTACATTCTTGTTTTTTTTTAATTTCGACACGAGCATCTTAGGGAAGGCCAAAATGTGTTATGCCTATGCCATAGAGATCTATAGAGAGAATACTAACTCTAGAAACGATAATTTTTGAACATAAAATTTTTCACTGAAACCTAGAACAAAATCTCTCCTAGAAGATGCTATCCGTACAATGACCTACTGTCGAAATAAAAAAAATTGACAAAGTGGAAAGTTGAATTTTATCAAAAATTTTGGTTGTTTTTGGCCTGCCAATTTCGAACGTTAATCAAATCAAAAAAATAAACTGGTAAGTCATAGTATGGAGAACTACATATGTACATGTATAACATTCAGAAAAATATTGATAGTTGTCTCTGAATTATCACTCATGCAAATTTGAAATATATGGTTTTGAAAAAATTTAAAGATAAACTGAGTAATAAACCTTTGCAGTAATTTTCACAATCAAAATCAACAGACACTGCTATTAACAAAAAGCTGTGAAACACAGATCAAATATCAGTTTTCACTCAAACTTTAGATTAGTGTCCAAGGAGCTTGTACCAAACTAAGAAATTATGCCCCAGTTTAGCCCACTTTTTTCGAATCTTGTAGTAGAGAATCGAAAAAGTACCAACTACACATTGAATACTTATAAAACTTTGCTGCTGTTGCTATTTTTTCGCACACGTACTGTATCATTTGCAAACTATTGATTTCTTAAAATAAATGACATAAAATCGGCACACCTTCAAAATATAAGGTTTTGCCATTGACACAAAAAAAAAAAACAAGAATTGCTCGCATACTGTCACCGCGCCCAAGTGCTCAGCCGAAACGACGAGCCGAATATGCAGTTATTTAAATAGCAATGAGTACTTGACAGACAGCACACTGACAGACAACGCGGTGGAAACGGTGTGTTGCGCTTGACTGATTGCAATTATGACAACTTTTCATGGAAAACAATAACAAAACTATAAAAATAAATAAATATAAAGAGTATGTAATGAAAAGCAGCTGCAGTAGCTAGAATAAAACCAATAGTTATAACAACAACAGTAACGGCAATAACATATAATCTGCATATGACTTACTCTATGTAAGTTTGTAATTCTATGTGTGTGTGAGCTAATTTTAATGGTGATTACCTTGTCGCTGGGCGATCGGTGGTTCACTGTTTGGCCTATTACCAGCTCGTACGTAAGCTTTTATGCATGTGTGTTTGTATGTGCGTAGATATTCGCCTGTAACTAGACTTGTATGCCACTTGTCCGGTTTGCTGGAGTGTGATCTGTCGTCACTCGATCGCTTGCTGCTTAATATGCATACCGAAGTGATTGTGCGAGCGTGCACGAGAATATTGGAGCGTAATCAAAGCAACAACAACATTGCCAGCAATGTACATATATAGAATAATAATGTAATAAGCGATGACCAAACCGACAATAAACGGTTTCCTATAGATATTTGTGTGTGTGTGGAATTATATAAGTGTACATGTGTCTGAGCCGCCACAAATGGTAGCCAAAATATTTTAACAAAAATACAAAAAAAATAACAAAAATTCAAAAGACAAAAATACAAAAATTATAAAAACATTTAGAGAAAAAAAAATTGTATTTAAATAATTATTTTAGAATTTCCTTATTTATATTGTATGAATGTAGTATACTATAGCATAAACTAATTTCGGAATTCCATTCAATTCACTGCGACGTGAACGTTAAGCATTAATTTAGAATTTAATTTCTTCTAATAAATGGACATTTGAATATACAAATGAGATAATAGTTAGATGCTGCTACTTAAAAGCTTGCTCAGATAAAATAACGATGTAGATATGTATGCGACTGTCGGCATGTATAAGCTTAGATAGATAGCCAGAGCTCGCATAGGAGCTGAATAGCCTCTACATACATACATACATGCATACGTATATATGTAAGCACAATTTATAATACTTCTTCCAAGAGATAAACAAGCGCGGACTTTTGGGTCCATACGAACTTTTTCTGATATTCAAGCTTATGCTAATTTTTCACTTAAAAACAAATATGTGGCATTTATTTATGTGCATGTACATGTGTATGTATGGGTAAATGTAAATTGCCGTGCGCTTGATGAAAAAATCATGCTATATTGCGAAATTTCAAACGGTTGCTGGGCAAATGTAGGACAGCATTTACATTTTGCAACGCGTAATTTATTCTATTTCCAAATTGAAACATTTTTATATCACACGAAATACGTACATTTGTATGTATATATGTTCCTTGATTTGGCATTCAATTTTTATGGCGCGCAATTTGGTGCAAGAAAATGCAAAATTTTAATTTGAATTATTACGCCAGGAAATATTGGGTTCAAGTTTTTGGGTTTTCGGGATCCCGAAATTTCTTTATCTTAATATGGAAAATATTGCATTATATTGAATTGGAAAATTCATATTTGTGTGCGGCTTAGAAGTGGGCGTTATGATTCGACACTGCTCCCTCTCCCTCTCCCTCTCTCTTATGCTCGCTTTGTCGGTTGGCAAAATATTTGGAGAGGAAATTAACTTTGTTGTTGCCAGTTAAATTCTGAACAAAGTGGCATAATCGCTTGTTATTCTATCTGTAGCTGATTATCGATATTACACAACAAGCGTTTTCTCAATTTCAAGGCCTACTTTTAGGCGGAAATATATTATCATATGTTCCTTCGTTTGTCCAGAACCTTACATTATTCATAAATAATGTTTTTATTATAATAATCAATCAAACATCTTCTATAATCAGGCTATCTAGATGAACAAAGTGTGATCTTGCACTCGAATGACTAAATCGATTAGATTGTTTCGTCCTGAATTTTGTCGACCATTTTTCTTTTCTATTATTTTTTACCAAAAATCGTCGAGTATTTATTTAGTTCAAACCTTTTTTTTTATCTAAATAAGAAAAGAGGTTAGCTTCGGCTTCACCGAAGCTATATACCGAAGCAGGTGCATTTCAAATAGCTTTTTCGACATATTCTTCTTAGTATACCCTCTTTAAAGTTTATAATTTGGCTTAGTAAGTAAATTGTCCCAGGCAAATATCCGATATGTTACAGTTCTGAAATCACTCATTATCTGTTTGAGGCTGTTTGTTCAAGAGACTGGTTTCTCTCACTGTAGATTATCCTGGAGTCTATCTTGACTTAAGTTTATAACAAGAATTGACAGTTGGTGTAATAAATAATAGACGTGCTCAAATTTTATATTTAGTTGGCTTATATTTACTTACTTCGAAATCATTATTTTGAAAAGTAAACAGACACGCTCTGAGGTAGGAAAAACAAAAGATTAAGCTCTATACTCTGTACTTAAATTGGCATTGAACTCATTCATTGGATATTGTATTGAAGAAATTTCTTTTCTTTCTTCACAAATCTATTTGAAGATAAAATGAATTTGCAGTAAACAAGCTTTATCATAAATCTAAGTATTTTATTTTTATAATTATTTTCGTGTTTATTATTTCGTTTGAACACTTGCCAAATACTCCTACAGTCACAGTTTGGCTTGTTGCCAGCCATAAATTTCCAATGGCCACAGCTGATTGATAAGAGTGAAATGTAATGAAAACCTTTTTCGAATTTTTTAAGCACAAAATTTCACGTCGCAGCGAAAGCTAAAACAAATATGAAAAATATTGTAAACACCAAAACTATTTGCTGACTCGGATGGTTTGAATGCCGGCGAGTTAGCGCTTGCTCGGAAAATTTGTGCGCTGTGGAGATTTTCGCAAATTTATGAAATATCGAAAATCACCAGATGACTGACAATGGTCTTGATCTACATTTGAACTACATTTGCATGAACGGCATGTATATATGTGTGTGTGTGTATAAATGTATGAATTTCGACACGCAAATCAACGGATGTGTGGTGTGTTGGTAAGGGTAGGGGAAATTATATACAAATGTTTTGGTTTTAAGGAAAATTTTTTTTTCGCTTTGAGGTTTTTAGCAACGTAAGGAGGGCACAGCAAAGCAAGTGAATTGGATGAATAATATCAAAACAATGAACAACAGTATTTGACAAGTTTATTTGAAGGCTAACTTTTGTTTTTACGTCAAAATATGGCAAACAATATTTGGCAAAAATATTTAATATTTATTATTTTTCATTGCTAATAATCAAAACAGGGAAATATATGTATAAAAAATCTACCTGAGAAGCTTTTCACTTGCATGCTCCATATTTGGTGACCCCTTATTCATTGATCCATAAACGTGCGGTGCAACATTGGCTCAGCCATATAAATCTAAAAATACAAATATATATTAAAAATTAGAATACATTAGCGGCTACATGCTCATAAATGTCAGGCATGCATCTATATACTTGTACACACATCCATACATATGCCCATATCACATAGTGCATTTGCCGTGAAGGAAGTCCAATTAAGTTATTGAGCTAATAGATAGGTGCATGCGCTTATAATATTTTTCATTGTCTAGCAGATCAAAAATACACCAGCACTCATACAAATGCCATACTTTATTTTCATACAAATGCATTCTCGTCAGTGTAATGTTTTTTGGTTCAATATTTATTATTTTTATTTTAGTATGTGCGCTTCTAAAAATATGGGGCGTCTCGTTTGAGTAGCTGGCTATGTAACTACATATGTTTAAGTTCATAAATAAATACTCGAACATATGCATGAGTATATGAGCATAAATATATTACTGTTAGGGAAATGTGTGTGTGAAGCAATTCTAAAGAGCAGAGCTTTCATTTTCATGGCGCTTTCACTAGTTTGATCGTGTGTCGCTGTCACTTTCTGCGATCAAACGTTAGTGAATAACTAAAACTTGCTACCTAAAAATTTGCATACAACAACAATAACTACATTATGCTTTTAATATCAGTGTTTAATATATTAAATAAATAAATTTAATGAAAATAATTAAACTCAATTTTATTTTTTATTTCAAAATTATACAATATATCTAAATGTAGAATTTCCAACAGGGATTCAAAGTTGTATATATAATTATGCAGATACATTGACTTTACTGTTGCATCTGTTTTCCATCAATTAGACGCTTAAGTTATGTACATATTGTTGTGGCTTTTAGATAACAATTACTTATCTGTACTCTGGAGCCTATAAGCGCATACATACATACATACGCTTTTATGAACTCATACATATACAAATATAGAATAATATAGCAAAAATATATGGAAGCCACATAAATATATGTCGGTGTATATACATATGCATATATGGGTGTATGTTTGCGTGGCATATGGCGTTAATGTAGCGCATGCCCTCAAGTAAATATGTAAACCTGTGTAAAGTTCATTATTGGCCATAACATAATGTATTGCCCATGTATACGTACGTGAAGTTGTGGACTTTTCGATATCAGCGTACAATCATGCGATCACTGTAAATGAAAGGGAAATTTCCAATGAACTTTACAAAGCGCCAGTTTTTCGTAATTGAGTTGCAAACGAACACTCAACTTGTATAAAATTTCCCTGAAGGTATATAACAACACAGGTCAAATATCAGCTGTTAAACTTATGCTTAATTTTTTATTGGTAGTTTGAAAGATTTTGGTAATCGAGTTGCAAAAGAACACACATCTCAGAAAAAATTTGCCTGAAGGGAACCAACACTGACCAAATCTCAGCTGTTAAAAATTTGCTTAATTTTTTAATGATATTTTGCGTGATTTTGGGCTATTTTTTTATTATTTATGTTGTAAAAGGTAAATAAAAAGGGTAACTACGCCTACTTATAAAATTTATTTTGCCAATTGCTTGACTAAGGGTTACAATTTGGTCATTTTCGGTTTGTGTTTGAGATGTCAGCTTCCGACTTGACTAATTTTTTGATCGTCTGTGCAGCGGATTATCTTATTATTATCTCTTATAGCCGAATTTTTCTTTTTATAAGCACTGATTAGAGGCTTCAACTAGTTTCACAATATCACCGAAAGTCCATTAAATATATGAAGCACCCCAATAATAAAAATAAATGTCTAAAACTTATTTTCTGCTCAATTTATAATTGCAATAATGCAATTCACATTTCACAAAAGTGTAATTACATACAAGTTTTGTGTTAAATAAAAAAAAATTAAAATACCCATTACACAATCACACAAACATACACATTCACCGCAGAATATTACAAAATTGCTCGCTACTTCATTCCAAACAAATTATTAATATTTTTTTCAATTTTTTACGGAAATGCCCCAAATGTGCCTACTTTCACAAACAACATACAGCGAACTAACAACTTTTGGGTTATTAATAGACACTACACCAATATTAGAGAGAGTGAAGCTAATAGTTCTTTTTATAGCTTAATATAATATGATAAATGAATTTTTAGCCAACACATTTAATACTAACTATAATTGATTTGAAAGAAATCAAGCTGACTTTTTTAAAACCGTTGTATTTGCCTCTTAAATACAACACAAACTCAGCAACCTTTTCCAAGTTTAGAGGGATTGTGGTAGAATTGCTGATAGAGCTTGCTGAAGCGTTGTATTTGCCTCTTAAATACAACACAAACTCAGCAACCTTTTCCAAGTTTAGAGGGATTGTGGTAGAATAGTGAGCTTGCTGAAGCGGGCTCTACGATCTCGTGTTTTCGTTTCTCTTGCTTTTTGAAGAGTAATAAACCTTTCCTTCTTCGAAGAACATTTCTAATAATTAAGTAGTACGAAAGTGGCGAAAAACATCTTGACTTTGTTTTAAACAAAAGTTCCGCAGTGTATGCAATATTTGTTTTTATAGTAAAAATATTTGGCACATTTTCAGACGCGCTATCTCTCTCTGCATATATGCGAACTAGTCCCTCAGTTTTTAAGATATCGGTCTGAAGTCTTATCCACGTCCTTTTCTGCCCAAGAAGCTGAACTTGGAACTGCCGATATAGGACTACTATAGCAAATAGCTGTCATACAAACTGACTGCTCCAAATCAAGACCTTGTATGAAAAACTTTTTTACTTAAGTATTAATTCGACTTGGTGGTTGTTTATATCAAACCGTTAGACGTAAACCGCTAACCGGTTACGTCTTCAAAATTACAAACACATATACTTGTACTTATATATATATATGTATACATATGTGTCTATAGCTATATATTATATACATATATATGTACATGTAAATGTATGCATGTTGTGCAGATAATTGACGTGCAATTTTCTACGCTTATCAAAGAGCGTACGGCAAATAACCGTATTGATAAGCAATGAATATGGCCATAAGTGTTTGTATACAAATACATATATTCGATAAATATTTGTGTGTGTGAATAACTGTATATATATGAATGACATAGGTATATATTACCTTATTACAACATGCTTTGTGCTTTTTCTTCGAAATATATCAGCACTTTACCTTTTGTGTACACACATGCATATGCATATATGTAGACATTGTGCGCTTCCGCACAGCCGTTTTTCGGCTTGCCACTTACACACTTCATTTTTGGCACATCACAAAATCACAACAATACAATGCCACCACGATTTCATTGTCATTTTGGAGCGGCTGATTGTTGTCACTCTGCTGCGCGATCACGTTGAGGCACAGCGCTGCGAAGACTCACCTGCGCGTCAACCGCGCGAACTCGCACAGCACAGCGCCAACATAGCGAAGCGACAAAGTGCTGTACGAATAAATGTTTCGAGTACTTTAATTGCAAATCGGCCGCAATGACGCCACACCCTTGGGCCCACTGCGCGTTGCCAGCGCCATCGACCTGCCGGTGTGGCGTTGATATACCGCGCACACGTTGTTTGGCCGTGTGTTCGATGCTTTTTGTGCATTGTTGTTGCTATTTTTATTTTATTTTACAATTTTTTTATATTTCACGTACCTTGTTATTTTTTTATTTTTTATTTATTATTTTTTTTTTGTTTCTGTGGCGTTGAGTGGTTGTGTACAACGGTTGGCTGCGACCGCTCGTTAATTGATCACTCAAGTCGGTGCTCCCGGCGGCAGGCAGTAGGCAGCGCCGCAACGGGTTATCTGTGCGCGCAGGCCGACAAGGCACAGTATTGTGTCAGTCAGTGAGTAACAGAACTCCGTTCCTGGCGTACAAGTATTATACAGTTCGTTCGTTTGTAGCGGTAGTGATTTTTCGCCTGTTTTTGTTCTTTGTTTCTTTATTGTTAGTACCCACTACCGCGTTGCCGCGTCTAATTCTACTTGCTGCTCTTCTGTGTGTGTGTGCTTGAAGTGCGGTGTTAAGAGCCCTCTTAAAGTATTGTTCGCACCAATTGCCAGTCTTTCGGTATTGTTTAGTAAAGTAGTGCGGAGATCACGTACCAAAACACACACACGCAGACTTAATTATTTATTTGCATTTGCTTACGAAAAATCTCGGAAGTTGTGTGCGTGGGAAGTTGCGCACGCGGCTCTTGCCAAAAATAGCCATAGACAACAATAAAGAGCTACAAAAATCAACAAAAACAATAAAATCAAGTCAATAACTGTAAACAAGAAAACCAAGTATACACATATAGTTACAAGAATGTGAAGTTAGTTTTGTTTACACTTGAACACAAGAGCACGCAGTTAATAGTCATAATGATCGCGCCGATCATCTCCTGCCGTCAGCTGTTAAGGACTACGCAAAGTGCTTAATTAATTTGCATAATTTGCATAAAACGGACAGTGCATTTTGCAAAATTGTATTGAATTGCAATTAATATAAAAAATGCAGTGTTGGTGAAGTGATCGATAGAAAACGTATGTTTAAATGGTTTTGGGTTCGGTAATGTGCTTAAACGTGAGTTAAGTACTGACTTTTGTGCGTTTAATGAAATCAAGAATAATTGTGGACACATATGTTCAACTGATCGGTGATCGTTTTGTTTCGGTTTGAAGTGTAATTTTTTTTGAGTGCTTGAGCTTAGTCAAAAACCAAGTTAAAAGGGGATGTTGTGTATAAAAAAGCCAGCACGTAACTGTTAAGGAAGTTCTATAAGTACTATCAAGACAATAAGGAAGCAATAGAAAACAATAAAAACGAATTTTTTGAAGTACAAATTGTTGATAAAAAAATTCAAAAAATCGTTTACATTGAAAAAAAGTTTTGAAATTAAAATATCCAATTGAAGTTTATGAAAACAGCAAAACAAATCTCTGCGCGCAAAAATCGTGTTTCTATTAAGCAACATTCAAGCTGCTAATTAACATTTTAATTGAATAAAGCTCTTGGCAAACATAGAATGTCATAAAAAAATTTTGGGCGACTAGAGGCAATAAATGTTATAATTGTTCAACATACATGCATATAAACATACATATGTATGTCGTCATACACCTTTATTTAAAACCGAAACAGTGATCAATTCTAAAAATTATTATGAAAAAGTTTGCTCAATTAATCCACCACACACGCTTCGTACAAACAAACTACAGTGGCTTATGTCTATATGCGATTAATCTCTGTAAATATTGCGCGTTACACACATACATACATAGTTAAGAAATTAAATAAATTACGTTTGCATATGCTCAGAAGTACATTCAATTTGATTTAATAATAATAAAAAATTTCATGGCAGTTATTGTTTGCTCAAATTGATATTAAGCGTTATACGTCATGATTTTTTATTTATTTACTTAATTTTTTCAAAGATCGATATCTTGCAGCAAATAATAGTATGACGCATGTAATTTTTTAAGCATTTCGCGAAACTCAGTTTATTGCATTAAACATCGTCAGCGTTAGGAGCGACTGCGTATAATTTTTTATATGTGATTTTCTAGTGAGAAAAACACATTTTTTCGTAACTTTTTTTGAATAGGAATTTTATCTCATAAATTAATAAAAAATATTGAGCCTTTACAGAATGTCATTTACTTTAATAATCGGTGATTCTTTTCAATTAATTTTGGATCCACTTAATCCTATAGTCAATCTCCAGGAGGACCACCGAAAATATGTGTCTGTGCAAATCCAAAAACCAAAAACCAAAAATATTATAATAGAAGAATACAGGTAGTGATCGAAGGACTGGACAAAATTTTCATTTTAGACAAAATGATGGCTTCCCAAAAATGGCTTATCAAAAATCTTATATTTGGGGAGCCGATTACACTAAGTTAAAAAATTCTTACAAATACGCTCATATTCCCAAAACCATTTGCCGGATCAACTTCAATTTTTTGGAGATTATTTTCAAATGTACTTGTATGTACATTCGATATATAAGCAAAAAATTCGAAAACTCAATAAAAAATAAATAACTTTTATATCAATTTATTTGAAATTAATACGAATTGGACAATTTGTAATTGTTTGCTAAATATTAAATTGAGTATCATTAAGAACTGAATTGTCATAATTATTCCAATTGATAATTCATTGACTTTACATATGCTCGTGTTTTAAGTCAATTTGTTCACTTTATGGATTTTGAGAAAACATTTAGCCGTCGAGGAATGCACGTATAGGGTTAAATATTATCAGCCAAGCTTATAAATCTAAATGTTGTTGTGCGTTGGTTTTAAAGCCTTAACTCACTATTATCATTTAAAAAAAAATATGAAAGAAAAAATGCAACACTTCGTCGTTTTTACAGACGCTACAAAACCTAAATTGAGTATAACTTTTCCGGAAGTGAAAACGTGAAAACGTGAAAAACTACCACCCCAACACATTGACGATAAAGGTGTCAGCAGTTAGCAGACCACACCGCTGCTCACCTGACTTCGTGCTACTGAAAAAGATGTTTCGCACCCTGCGCACTCTGCGCGCTGTAACTTTCAATAGAGTGTTGTACGAGCTCGGCGCTCACGTGTGGTTTGCGAACGTTGCAGCACTCTATTTGTGGCACTTGCGGCTTGTAAAATCGCTAATTCGCAAAAAACGTCTGGCCACAAAATTGTGCGGCAGCCGCAATACCGTATGCAACAGCTAATGCGCTTTGCAGTTTCTTGCGTTTTTCCTTTATTTACACATACTTATGCTTATTTATGTATATATGTTATATGTATGTATGTGTGACGCAACTTGCAGCTTGGTGCGCGCTGGTGGACACTCTGTTGTCTGTTGCCGGCAACTGACAGTATTTGCTTGACCATTGCGCCGGCAATAGGGCAAGATTTTAAAGGGACGCACAAGCCACCAAAAAGAAATACGAAATACATACATATGTACATGAGTGCAAGTGGATAACTGGCGGGTGATCCCTCATTAAATTGGCTAGGCAAGTGCAGCGCGTTCGTGCGTGTGTGCGGTGCAGTGAAATAAATTGTAATAGACAGTAAATTTTGTTCGTGCGCTACAACAAGAATAATAAAGAAACACTTGCTAGGTACAAGCGCAAAAATATATCCATATGCTAATTATTAAAAAAATATTTGCAATGTGCAATTTGATTGCAAACAAAAATAAAATAAACTTACACACATACACAAATAAACACACGATGCTGATGAAACCCGCTTATACTCACACATACATATATTTGTCATATGTGAATACACACACACACACAAACGCAAGTATTTGTGAATGCATTAACTTTTGTGTGCCAACTTGTTTATCGCGACAGCGATCGTCGACGCTGTCGTCGCTATTCAGCCGCTAGCCGGTAACGCTACACACAGGTGACATCATCACCAATAGTAAACATAGAGTCTACCAAAAACAAGAGCGGCAACAAAAAGCCACACGAAACGCAAATCACAATAAACAAAGCGGTCACATTCAGTGAACTGTCGACGCGCTGACCAACCGACCACCGACGACCGACCCACAAACTAAGTTAGGCGAGAGGAAATACTCGTACAACAACAGCAACTACACACATGTAATGCAGTGATCTCGGTGCGCCAAGTACGGAGCGGCAGCAGTTGGGGGTGTGTGATCGAGCGCTTAGACAAAAGCTTTGCGCGCTTGCCGTTGTGCGTGTGTGCGTGCGCGCAGCGAATGGTTTGAATAGAAACTAATTATTTCCAGCGCATTCTCATTAATTAGTGCTGCAAAAGTAGAGCAAAAGCCGAAGCTGCGCTTAGATTGATGATAATTGAAAATTGCGAAATTAAAAAGAGCAAAAACGAAAGAATAAACGAACAGGCGAAGGGGGCGGGGAAACAAAAAACAAGCAATAGATATGACTGAAGAGTGAAGTTGATTTACGCAGCAAACAATTTTAAAAGTAATCTCCATACCCGAGTGTCAAGCAAACGAAATAGCAAAAGCAAATAAAAAATAATAATGAAATACATTTAGAACAAAACGCTTAAAAGCAGCGCTGACTAATCAGCCGGTTTTTAGAATGTTTATTTACTTAAGCTTAAATTTAGTTAATTATTTAAAGTGTGCTTGCTAGTCTTTATAGACACATATACTACATACAAACATTACAAATGTAGAAATCTAAGCATACGTAACAGCAAAATTTTAGTTTAGTTGTCAGTTAACTAAAAATACAATTAAGTGTTTAGATAATGCCTCGACGTAAGCAAATAGGGGCGAGACAGTTCTTTAGTGGACATTATGCGTGTTTAGTTGGGATTTTTTAGAGAAATTATTAGAAAAAAAGCTTACATTTTCTCCAAAAACTATAATAATATAAAAATTAAATTTAATAAAAATTTTTTAACATTTGGCAACACTGCTTAGAAATATATTTTGTTGTGATAATTACACAAAGAATTTTTGTGAACATTACGTGTGATTAGTCGAGATTTTTTAGAAAATTTTTGGAAAATAATAATAGTCATAAGTTGAAAAAAATTAAAACCTTTTATTTATTTCTTTTTTAAACCAATTGACAACACTTCTCAGAAACATTTCGGACTAATAGCATGCTTAAACTTCGTGCGTTAAATGTCGAAATTGTGGAATTTTTTCTTCATAAATATTTTGTAACTATAAAATTCAAGCAAGTGGCAACCTCTTTACTATTTTTTTAAACCGAGTATTAAATCGAACAATTTAAATAAAATTATTCTAACCGGTTCCGCCTTTATTATGGTAACATTTTGTATGATGTAGGTGTGACGAAGTTTCGTCGCGTAACACAATTTTGTTGCACTCAATAAATTTAATTGTCATTACTGCATAAATAATTTCCGCTTCATAATGGCAGATTTTTGAAATTTTTTAAACCGATTTAAAGATTTTTCTCCAAATTGTTCGCCTTTTTCGGAGTAGTCGCCGTAACACTTTATTCGATATGAGTGTAAACCACACTTCGGATTTGTAATCGACACATGGTTTCCTAAAAAATTGGAAATATCACCAAAATAAGTTTCCTAATTTTTTTAAGTAATCCGTTTATTTTCAACCCATTTATATAATACGTTAATTTATAAATTTATGCTTCGATTGTGAACTGTGAAAATAGTCAACAGTGTAGCCGAGTTTTTCTACAGTGAAACCAAGTTTTCCTGCAAAACAGATTTTTTTTATCTTCATAAGCACCAAAATAAATCGGTGTGTGGACGAGTTAGACATAAAATATTTTATCTCGTAAATATCGTGCTTATGATTATTAATTAAGGTCATACACCAAAATATCCAATAAAATCGAGTTATCTGACAATGAGACAAATTTTTATAATAAATAAATTTTATACTATTTACCAAAAATTCAATCTACAATTTGAAAAAAACATATTTATTGTAAATATCTTGGCTAATTAATAACACTTCAATTGATATTTAATCATACAAACAACCAAAGGCGTCCCGCTTTACCCAAAAACGCTGTAAGCCACAACTTTTTCCCTTCATTGCTTATTCCGCTGCCATCATACGCTACTCCCCCTGTATGCGTTATTGCCAAACCGAAAATGCCTGTTTAGTATATTTTTATAGAATTTTACTCGCACGTACACACACAACCAAACAACACAAAAAACTAGAACCATTAATTTTGCTGTACAGCTCGTGTAGCGCTCCACTAGCTCCTCACCCCACAACAATTGTAAATGTGTATGCGTGTGTACGGGGAAATCGACGCTCAAAAAACCATTCAAATTTCACTCGCACTTCTATTTCCGTGGCGGGCTGCTTGCGGCGGCAGCGTACTCACAGCGCGCCATATTCTTCCACTTCGAACTTTTGCTGCTTTTCCGCTCATTTTAGCACACCAAACTAACCGAATGGCCAACCACCATACCAAAATGTGTACTATTAGCTACAAACAAAAGGCAGCAAATAATGTTAGAAAGCAAAACAGAAAAAACACAAAAAACAGCAATAAATATTATTAATGTTGAGAGCGTTTCGAAAACATTGTGCGCACATACTATTCAGTTTGATACAACGACTCTCCGTGACGTGCGAGCGTGCACGGGTGAGCTAACGATCGCGCGCTGTTGGCGCACAAGAGCAAACGAAGCGCGAAAAGTTTTCAAAAATTCTATTTTGTTTTTGTGGTACTCAGAGGTTTTCGAAAACAAATCGAGTGAAAAATTTTGTAATTTCTCTACGCGTTATGTGACTTTTCAGTAGCGGCAGCAAAGCGATGTTGCTCGAGCTGTTATGAAATCTCCTGCGCTCTATGTATGTGTATGTGTGTGTGCCGAATAATAAAAAAAATTATAAAAGTTTTCTTAAGGCATATCCAAAATTCTGTTTTCCGAAACTTAAAAGGCAGCGCGCCAAGATACAAACGCTTCTGTGTGACATTTAGGGAAACAGTGCGCGTGTCCAATGTCTCTTGGGCCGTCGTCCACAACGGCGAATATCCGTTGAGGCTATGCTCAGCGCTCGCCGGTCGATGCTACTTTGTTGAACATTTAGTGGGGATCACTCAGTGTTTTCATAGACCTACAGTCGAACAGAATGAGTCCACGATTTTCGACAACCGAAACGAATAGCAAGAAAAAGGAGAATAAGCAGCACATTCAGCAGCAATAACAATAGAACTATTAGCGGAAATTTTGAAATACGCAATACGAATTTCAATTAATTGAGCAAACTTTTTCATACGCAACGAACTTTCCTTAAAACTGATCAAATATACATAACTGTGTATAGACATAGTATAGATACATTTTTTGTTGTTTTTGTCTTTCCTGGGTACGCGACCTTAGTCACCACAAAAAGCGCTGAAAATCACCGCAAAGCAAAAACTTAAACAAAAAGAAACGAGAACGTGCGCGGTTAACCTAATTATCATAGTAGTGGTAGAATACTGAAACATTTGCAAGCACAAGGCATACACTTGAGTACGGGCCGCCTAGAACTAAGTAGTCAATCAATAGTGATCGATGAGCGATCGTGTTGAACAAGGGACAACAAGTGCAATAAAAACTATCTAATTGAATTGGAAGTAACATGCCAAATTATCGCCAGAAAAATAAGAGGAACAAGAATAAGAATCGACAGAAGAATCAACAGCAGCAACAGCAACAGCAACAGCAACAAAATAAAAACAAAAACCAAAACCCGCAACAACCAGAAATTCAACAAACCGATCAAAACCGGCAGCCAACCGATAATAAAGACAATCAAAGTCAGGGTCAAAGCAGACGTGAGCAATCTAATCAGCAGCAACAACAACCCACAACACCTCCGAAATCACCTAAATCCCCCACACTAACTGCCACCCAAACCACACCGCCTGCTCCGCTAGACGAGCCGCGAGCAGCTACTTCACCACAGCAGCAGCCGCCGAGCTCAGAAGATGCGCGAGAAGTGGACTCTGACACCCCTGCTGCTGCGCTCAATCAGTGTCATAATTTAAATTCGAACGAACCCACAAGCAGTCACCAAACGTTCACAACTGCAGTTGAACGTGAAGAGTGCAATCGTGTGGAAGATGCAGACGCACAACTTTCGAAATTAGATAATAAGGAAGCGACACATAGTGATATAGCGCGCATTGAGGGGATAGTGGTTGCAGTGTGTGACGCAGTGCAGGAATCCACGATGGGCAATAAAGATTCGAAATCGTACATCACAAGCGATGATGACGCTGCAACATCGACGACAGTGACAACCGAAACAGTGACAGCTTCGACTGATTTGTGCGGCATGAGTAGACCAGATCGCACCATAGCCGGTGCCAGAGAGTTGGACGAGCTGCACACGCTAGTGCCGAAAACGCAAATGGCAAAGGTGATTGTGCATAGAATAGTGCGCGAGGCGACAAGTGAGGGGGGACATAATAAGCAGCACATTGGAGACATTGACAAGGTCGAACAAGTGGCGAGTGTTGGTGAGAAATTTACTAACGCGACGACGGGTGAGCTTAAAGTGGAAGTGATGGATGAGCAGAAAGTACAAATGGCGGCGACTAATGGACAAATTGAAGGGACCGCACTGCAAGAGCCGGTACAAAGTACAGCGAAGGAGATCGAGACACAACAATCTAAGGTGATTGTGCACAAGATCGAGCACAAGCAGGAAGAAGAGCAGAAAGCAGGGCAGACAAATGTTAAACCGAAAGTTATAGTGCACGCTTTTCAGCATAAAGAAGACGATCTAACGGTTAAACAAAAATCAGGAGCTTTTTCTACACAAAAAACTAGCCATACGCCGCAATCGAATGCCGGTGCAAAGGTGATCGTACACAAGATCGCACAGACATCGAACGATAATGCAAGTGCTAGTCGAATACAGAGCGTTGAAAGCGAAAAATCAAGATGGACTTCAACTAATGCCGCTTGCGTTAGCCCCAAAGGTAGGCCTGATCAAAATGATGACTCGAAAGTCATTACACATCACATACAACTCGAATCTACATCACCCATTAACTATCGCGTTGATTCGCCTGACACTGACAGCCCCACATCGCAGTTGTACCGCAGCAAACAAGCACAATTGCTCAATAAAAGTATTGTGCAAATACAAGAGCTGAGCGACGAAAGCTCCAGCGAATATAACGACAATCCGCCTGTGATAAGCGAAGCCGAGTCCGAGACCGAATCTGCGGCTGGCGCTTGCGCTTTAGACTATGCACAAGCCGTGCGCACACTCTCTCCTGAAAACGAGGACAACTACGAGATTTTGCGCAAACCCCCCACCATACCAAGTCCGGAGCAACAAGATCTGAAGCAGCGGCGCGCACAAAAACGTGTGGCGCTCGAAACACATTTCCTGCCACAATTATTAAGTCCACGTTATCTGGACAGCATTATGGAAGAGAATAGTGACATGAGCGATGCGCGCAGCGATTGTTCCGAGAACCCCCTGATGACAACACACTCCGGCGACGATTTGCATGATGCATCCGCGTCGAAAGTGCGCAAAGCCAATGAAGTATTCCCGCGCAGCAATTTGGATTTCACGCGACGACATCCGAAAAAACAGCTTGGCGCTTTGCCAAAAAAACCATTACCCATACGCGAAGAGCCTGTTGCCATGGTGGTTGCGGCAAAATTGATCGATAACGCAATAACTCCCGCACAGGAATGTTGTACGCGTTTGTCCAGCGAGCACACGCCCGAATCGGAAGCAGCTGAAGTGATATATCTGAGTAGTTCGGCATCGAGTAGCCTGTCCGATCTGATGGAGCTCGACGCGGAGGGTGACGGCGATGACGAGTGCGGCAACAGCAGTCACTCAACGATCGATCTCGACACGGACGTAAGGGAAATCATAACACGACCAGGCAGCGAGGAGTGTGCGACGGCAGCAAATGATAGTCGCGAGAGTACACCTGTTAATCAGACATCAACAAGACTGTCAGAAAATAATGAAATGCAAAAAATTTATACAAATAACAATAACAATCAGAGTGGTAGTATAGAACAAATAACGTCAGCGGCAGCCGCTGTTAATGGCACAAATATTGACACAGCCAAGATCACTAATCCCATTGAGCACAGAATATTTGAGAATTTAAAAAGTTTGCAATTGCTGGCGGAGCCAATTGGAGAGCGCGCACTCTCCAACGGCAGTGGCGAAACAAAAACAAACACGACAACAAACACTAGTAAGCGTACAACAACAGCAATTAGCGAGTCAGAGACGGAGACGGAGACGGAGATGAGTTCAGAGACAACAACGGAGAGGTGTGAATATTTGCGCAGCTCGAGCAGCAATGGCAGCGGTAGCGGCAGCAGCAGTCTCACTAGCAGTATTGATGCTAAGTATCCGCCAGCCATAATTGCGACTAGTGATAGTTTAAACGTTGACCCAGCAGTGCTGCTTGAAAATATTGAATTAGAAATGAATAGCGTGCGCGATATATTGAACTCGCATACAATCGAGACAACGGCAACAACGTGCGGGAATCAGCATGTCTCCAATACGCGTACTTCGTGTGAATTGAAAAATATTGATAATTTTAATAGTGCTAAGAATGTTTCGCCCTCACCACCACCCATACCACCACCACCCACCAGTGCTAGTGCTAGTGATTTTCATAGTGATTTTGCAGGTTTTCAAACACAGCCAACACCACCGCTAATACCCGCGCGTGTCCCACAAGACAACACCTTCCACTCTGCATCTACACTTACAACAGAACAGAAGTGTCCACAATCGCCAACAACAAATACACTCTCCCCTAACACACATAACGTTTTGACCTCACTATCCTTGCTGTCGCGACAAGAGTCCGCCGAGTCCCATTGCTCCGACAGCACACAACACAGTCAGTGCACAGCCATTAATGTTGGCTCGCGCCCCTCTACCGATCATGAATTGACGCCACCACTGACTGCAATCTCACCCATTTCAGATGCACAACAGCAACGTCAGCACACTGAATGGAAATATGGAGAAAATAGTGAAAGCGTCGCCAACACATACGGTCAGAAAAACGATTTAGAATATCCGAGCGCACCGCAAAAGGATGCTTCAATTAAAAAGTTACGTCTCTTATGTACCGAAACACTGGCCTCCATGCCATATGGCGAGCAGGTACTAGTAGAGCTGGCCACAGTAGCACAGAATATAGGTGAATTGCAAGCAAAGGCGCCAACACAAACGCAAGCGGAGAAAATTTCAGCGCTGGCACAAGGAACCACACAAGCACCGAACATGCCATATCCATTACCCCAATTACCACACATAAGCGAATTGCAATTGTCGATCGCTGACGGTCGTACGCCCACAACACTCAGTGAACCACAGAACGCACAGGCGTCACACAGTGCTACCTCCACACATACGACTACTACCCACAATGTGGCGATCACACAGCTCAGTGATCCAGTAGGCGCAACGCGTGATCTCACTGCCGCCTCTGCAAAATTATTGCATTCGCCACCACCACCGCCAGTGCCCGCACCACCTGTGCGCTACAGCGATGCGCCTTGGTTGGGCGTACCAACAGCAGCCGATCCCAATGTGCTGGTTTGTCTTTCGCCCGCGCAACAGCATCAATTGACGAACAACACGCAATCCTCGCAACAGGCTGGCGCCCAACAAACACCACAACCCGATCAACTTTTGGATGCACATCAAAAGTTTCTGGAGCGACGTGGCTATCACGAATACACCGACGAGCAGGTGAAATCACTCAATGCTGAGTTGCAACAGGAGGAGCAACAGATATTGAAGACGGCAGCGTATATGAAGAAATTACGTAAAAGCCTAACACCACCACCGCCGCCCGTACCGCCACCACCAGTGCCAGCGAAGAATGCCGAAACGGCAGCGAAGGCACAAAATCAAGCAAGAATAGCCGCGTCGTCTTCGTATGTGTGCAGCGACCACAGTCAACGCGTTTATGACGTAATACAAGATAGAAATGCCAATGAGCAAATATCAGCCACTTTTGCGGATGGAGAACAGCGGCAGCAGATACAACCGAACCAGTCAGAACAAAAGCGTTTGCTAAAGCTAATACAGAATACTGACGCGCCAGCTGATGCTGTTGCTGTTTCGGTAGATGGCTCATCATCAACATCTTCGGCACAACAACAGTCATCATCACTTGAAAATAACTCAAGGCAAACGAGTGCCGCTGCCGCTGCACAGGGTGGCGCGCCAGCATTCGCAGGAAAACAGCCAACAGCCAGCGCTGATACACGGCAGTATTCAAACGGAAACGCGTCCGAATCAACCAGCATTAGTAGAGTGTCCGATTTGTTCGCTGCTAATAATTACACAAAGAACAGTTTCCCAACAACAACATCCACGACCTCAGTCAATATGCAGGGTGTCGAGAGTGAATTGGCCAAAATGTTCCCATCGATGGGCACCAGCGATATTTTCGATAGCAATCGTAAACGCTTCTCCAACATCGAATCTTCTACTACATCGAAGGACGGCACCTATTGCGCCCAACTCCAGAGTACGCTGCCCAAACGGTACTCCAATATCGAGACGCACTCCTACGAGGCGAAAAAACGCATGGAAAATGGACAAGTGGTCTATGACTACAGTAATTCACAACACGAGCGTACATCGGATGGTGACAAGTCCTTGGAAAGTGCATCTACGCCCTCTTTGCTGCAATTCCCCGTCAGAGAACCGTCCAAAGAATTTCTGCAGTACCCCGTGGCCGGCGATGGCGTATCAAGTAGAAGCGGAAATAGTGAAATTATGTCAGCAATAAAATTAAACACAACAGAAAATGAAAAAACAACTACAGAAACAAAAGAACAAACAAACGGCATAAACATGACAAATTTCGTACACCCTGCCGCCACCACCACTTCTACCACAGCTACAACACAGCACAACCCCACCGATCGCACGTTTGGCACAATGGCTACAACGGAGACTACAATAAAAGAAGAACATATTAAAAATAGTCAAGAGTTTGGTAGTGGCACGGTACGACCGCAAGCCTCAAGTGGTGGTGGCGACAGCGGCAATGCTTATGAAGAATTTAGGCAACGTGCCAAAGCAGCAGCGGACGGCGGTGCGTTCGGTGCTTTCGGTGGTCAGACGCCAGCCACCGCGCCACCGCTTGGCGAAAGCAATAGTAAGCATTCCGCTTTCAATTTCCAACATGACAAACTGTTCAAGGACTTTGATGCGTTGTCGCAACAATTACATATGGAACTCGAAGAGGGTAAGGTGCAACGTCAGCAACGCGAAAAGTCTGCATCACTTTTCGATCTCAATCGTTCGCAGTGGAATTTCAAGGACCATTTCGATGAGTTGAAAAAGCAACGGCATCAGCACATGCAAGAGTTGGAGCGTGAAATCGAGCGTTCGATGCGTTCGCGTCAATTGAAGGGGTGGGCAAATGATGGTGCACAAAACACCACGAGTACACACTCTGCTAGTCGTACTTATGAAATACCAATACAAATTGAACAAAGTAATGGTGATTACGGCAACGCGCATCTAAATGGTTTTGCGCGCAAAAGTGATAGAAGTTCAGCGCCTAGAGAACTAACACAGGCGCGCTCCTACAATATACCCATTGTAATGGAAAATGGTGACGCGCCAATAGTACCACCACCGCCAACAGCAGAGTATGATACAGTGGATGATGCGTCACGATTCAGACGTGCAGAGTCGATGTTTAATCTCACTGAGAACACGCAACGCACGCAAACTCAAACACCACAAACATATGCTACCTACGACCGGCCTAAATCCGCCGCTGCAGATGATTGGGCACGTTATGCAAGTGACTTTGGCTCTTCGGAAAATATTACACGTCCTTTCGCACGTGAAGTGGAGATCTGCTATCAGCGTCAGCGACCACGTACCATACGCGCGCCTCGCCTTACCGCCTCCACCAATGATCTTTCGTCGTACACGCACAGCTATGATAACTATAACGCTTACAATGCGCGTCGCTCACATGCGCCTATGTTGCAACCTGTGGCACAGCAACAACGACCACATCACGGCAGTTGCTACTCAGTGCTCGAGCGTGATCCCAATCCAACTTATATAAGCACAACAACGCGACGCGGCGTATCGCCAGCACCAGTATCGCCAGCGCCGCAAGCGGCAGCACAGGAGCCGCTCTACAGCCCACATGCGCCTGAGCGGCAGCGTCGCGCCTCACTACCACGTGAGATACAACAGCAGCAACTTAAATATATAAGTAGCAAAGAAGAAGAGCTACGCATGGAATTTGAACGTTTGCAAAACGAACGACGCCGACTGATGGATGAGCTAAATACGCAACCAGCTGCAACTCTACAAATGCCACAACATCCAATGCGTGACATATACCGACCAGTGCCAAAGTTGCCCACACTCACGGAAGATGAAGTGTTCCGACAGCAAATGGCTGAAGAGTGGCTGAGCAAAGTAGCGGAACGTGAAGAGCGCCGCCTACAGAAAATCATCAAAATCTCCAAGGTCAATGAGACGCAACAGGGACAGCAACAACCGCCTGTGCCGCCACATCCCAAACCTGACATTAGCGATGAGTTCCTTAAACGCGTGCAGGAGCGACGCACGAAACTGGCTATGCCAGCTGACAGCGATTGGGAGAGTGGAGCCGAGTCACAGCCTGCCAGAACAGGACATGCGAGCGAGAGTGATGCTGAGGTGCCGCCAGTGAAAGTGATCGAAGGAAAATCGGAAGCGGATTTGCGCCAGTTACCGCGTCATCTACGCGAATTTGCACGCTTCTCAAATCACAATGAAGAGAAAATCGATGGTGGTCATCGGGTGGTGCATCAGGAGGAGGAGCGTCGGCAAGAGGCGAATGGTAATTCTATGAGTAGTGCATTAAAGAAATCGTCTATGGTGAAAACTGTGAAAATTGCAAGACCGGAAATCGTAACAAACACTAGCCAACGTGTAGCGGCACCGCCAGTAAGTGTGCAACAACACGAACAACCGCGACAACAACCACAACAAGGGCATAGCCGTACAGCAAGCGGCGGTGAAACGGGTGAGTGCATGCAAAATGTGAACGCTCCTACATTACAAACTATTCGTAAAACATTTGCTTCAGCTTCTAGTACTACTACTACCAACTCCTCCACCATAACCAAGTCCAACTCAAATTCCTCGAACGCTACCGATACAATCGATACTACTACCACTACTGCTACTACTACAAGCGACAATGTTGTTGCAACGGGTAATTCAAACGACTCAAATGAATCCACTCCAACCTTACCCGCTTTAATTGGTGCTGGTAGCTTTTTGGGTACTGCGATCGTAGTCGGCTTGTCGATTTGGAGCGCTTGGACTTAAATATGAATTCGATCAGCAAATAAGCAAGCGTGACGTGTATTTTTATTTGTTGTAGAATTAATGAAAATTTCAAAGAAATTAAATGGCTAAGAAAACGAATAAAAAGAATAAATAGCACAGTATAACGGCAAAACAGCAATGACCTTGAGAAATGTCGCATGAGCTCCTCATAAGTCATACATTTTTGTTATAGCGCATAAATTTGAGAGGGATATAATATTCAAAGAAAAAGATTTTAAATATTTTTTGTCACTTTATTGCACAGGTTGGGTTGCCAAACGGCAAAAAGGCCAGTGAAATTATTAGCATTTTTTTTTTGATATCATATGACATGTGATGGGGGTTTCAACATTTAAGAGAAATTTTAACAAAAAATTTTACCTGGCTTGTTTTAGTAATAGGAAATGTGAATAAGAGGCAGCAATATTTTATTTTAATAACAAAAAATTAAAAAAAAAGTAAAAAACAATAAATTTTGAAGCTTTTTAAAATAAATAATGGTAATTAATGCTGATAGATTTAGAGTAAAAATAGATTTTGACTAAAAGCAAATGTATTTTACAGAAATAAAAATATTATAAATAATTGTTGGAATTTATTTTATAATAATATTTTGCAAAATTAAATTTGAAAATTCAATAAATCTCAAACAAGTAAACTATTTAAAATCGGCGTTCAACTCAGCGGCAAATTTAAAAAATATATCTGAAAAACAAAAATTTCGTAAAACCCCAAAAAATACTATTTAAAAATAAAAAAACTGCGTAGCTTAGTTGAATATACAAAAAATATATAAAAGAAATTAAAATTTTAAACAAAAAAAATATTAAAATAAAAAAATTAGAAACGCCAAAAGCACAAAAAATTTTAATTGCATTTTGAAAAAATAAGAAATATAGACTAAAAATAAATCAAATAATTAGTTTTTAGGGAAATTTTGAGTACGCTGAAAACCCCTTTCTGATTAAGCCGAGACCTTTCAGTGGGTTTTGCTATTATACTGTGCTATTTTTTGTATAAAAAAAGCCAAAACTGCTTTGAAGATATTTACAAAACATTAACGCGCGCCGAGCCCACATACGATCCGCAGCTGTCATGTCTTCATTTGTCACCACGTTTTCATCTATCCACACCAAACACATAAAAAATCACCAAGAGGCTAGTGCATATAAATAATATAATTGATAATTAGGATAAATCATACTCTTGAGTACTTAAATGTTTCATCAACTTCTCTTCATTGTACAAAAAACAAAAAATGCTGTCAACTTTCTGCTTAATGTAACTACATACCCACCTCATATACGTATATGTAAATACGTGTATGTAAAATATCCCAACAACCTACTTTCCTATCTAGCCACCACTGTAACTACTCCACGCATCAATAGCTCATCGGTAAAGTTGAAAATAACTACATACATCTGTGGTACTTTGTAAATAATTGTGCGCCAAAACTTTAAAATTTTTACTTCAAAATCAACTTCAACAACCAACCATCTGGGAATATTTGTATCTATACATACTCGTACATATGTAGTTTTGTCTACACAACTCACAAATTAGTTAAATTGTTCACTATAAAAAGTTAATGTTTCTCTTCAATTGCTCGCTTTAGTCGACGCTGCTGAAACAGCGCCCTTTACAACAACACCACCACCACCCCATTCACCATTCTTTAGCAAGCTACCAGTATCGCCCTCCTTTGACGAGATGTTCGCCACGTCACCGTTCAAGAGCCGAATTTATGACGAATTCGAAAGGTTTTGGCGTAGCTTTGATCATACCACATAGCTCTGAAGCTATCTACATACCTACATTGCAACAACCACAAAAAATTATATACAAGCCGCAGTAATGTGTCATGTGATGTTGCAACAACATTTCGTGCGATTTGCAACTAGCAAGCCGAGTATTCCCGAACCCTGTGAATGAAACCCCGTATTGTGTAGTCTTATCTACTTACGTCTTACATATACACCTACTACCACTTCTACTATTAACTACTACAATTACAACAACAACAATTTATTAAACTATTTTAATTTTTTATGAATTATTACTAAAATTTATTTGGATTATTATTATTTTGTATTACTTCTAAACGATATTCGCGAAAACGATATTAACGAAATTATAAAAAAAAATTAAAATAAAAAATAATGTATTTATAAAAAAATCAAAAGTACTAATGAAATTAAAAGTGATGCATATATTTATAAAAAAAACATAAACAACAATTACTGTTACAAAACCAACCCGCTTGTAAAATTAGTAGATGAAAATTATGTCTGTATGCTCTTAGTTTAATAATATGTATGTAATAAATATTAATGCAGTTCTTTGTTGAATAAAAATACATATTTATTGTTTTAACCAATCAAAAAAACAAAAAAAATTATAATGCTGTTTGTTTTTTGTCTTTTGATTGATATGTTTACCACATTTTACGTATGTATGTATTATATGCTGTCCTGTATATTTTTTTTTGGTTTTCTCTTCGTTGGCTGCTCTGCTTTTGCATGTTGATCTAGCGCGAAAATCCTCCGTTTCTTTATCTATATTCCTTTTTACCGTTACTTTTTTGGCAATGACAATTCGAAATAAAATAGTATTATTTATTTATTAGTTTTTAATTAATTAATTTAATAATTTAATTTTGTAAATCAAAAAAAAAGATTTTTGAAATTATCGAAAATTTTCAATATTTGTTTATCAACCTACACATCAGATGTGTCACTTCTTAATGTACAATATATATATTTATTATATATGTATGTGTTAAGTATGCTCATATTTTTATAAATTATTGTTATAAAATTCTCTTAATCTTATATAAATTTTTTTCCCCAATCCGAAACGTAAGCAACTTGTCAGTATTTGCTATTTATTGTAGAATAAATACTCAAAACGTAGTGTAAAATTGTGCGCTTGGTACAATTATAGTCGTCTTCGATTCGCCACTTCTCCACTAGCTTTATTTGAGCTCCGCGCTCTATTATAGGATTCACACATGACAGCAACGACGAAGTTATTTATCTTCAATAGAAATATAAAAAAAGTCCAATTAAGCCTCTATTTTTTATTTCCCTATAATGAACTCTGAGAAACAAATATTTTTAAGTTATGACGCTATAATTAACTTCTACTTGTATGTCAATATATTGAGAAAACCCACTTGGAGTATTTGTGTACACATATTTATATATAATAATTAGCTAACCTGTTCAGCTAATTATTATTTTTTGTTCGGTACCAAATTAAAAGTTGTATTAGGGTGGTTCTTTATTTATTATATACACAAAAAAGAACATATTTCAGACTTTGTAAGTTAGAAAAAAGTTTTGGAATATATTTTTCACTAGTATTCAGGTGTAATGAATTCAGTAATCGTAAAACTTTTTGTGGTCTTAAATAAGTTTTCATATACAATTATATACTGAATTAATGTTTATGCAACATTTCGTTTTCATAATCGGACGAAATTGTGCATTAACCAATTTTGATTTCATTGATAAACTTTTTTGAAAAATTTTTAACACAAATATTCTTGTACAAAGATATAATTATCGAACATCAAATTTAAAAAAAATGAACTCAATGCTGAACTTTTGCCATAACCAGAGTTTTTTGGTTAAGCCTTGGCTAAAAAAAATTACAAATAAAAAACTCCTTTCTTTTTGGGATTTTTTGGGAAAAAATTCGAAATACATACGTACATCCACCTATCCTAATGTGTATATATATATAAGGGTGGAACGAAAAAAAAATTTTTTTTTGCTTAGCCTGAGGGTAAATTTGTTGATTAAAAAACAAGAAAATTTTTAATATCTAGTGGCGGCCCACTCACTTTTAAAGTAAATTCGAGTTAAAATCTTTTTTGGACACAAAAAGAAATTTTTTTTGGTTTAAATTCTTCACATTTATATAAAAATTAACGAATTTTACGGTTTTTGACTCAAAATTTATTTTAACGCTTAAGGAAAGCATGTTGTCGTTTAAGACTTTTTCCACACAAAAATTTTTAAGTTGATAACTTTTGATTGGCCAGAAAGAGGACTCTCCCCAGCTTCTAGAATACTTATCAAATTTGTTTTACGAAATAAAAACTTTAACTCAAAATTTACTTTAAAAGTGAGTGAGCCACTTCTAGATGTTAAAATAATTTTTCTTTTCCAAAAATTTTCTTGTTTTATAATCTACAAATTTTACCCTCAGGCTAAAAATTTTTTGTGCGCACCACCCTAGTATACATATCTCATAAATGTCGAAAGTCGCATGTGTTCAACTTAGAAAAAGTAACAAGAAACGGAAATTGCAACGAAGTGAGGCGAACAATTAACAGATCCGCTACTTAACATTCGAGAGATAAAGAGCAAATAAAAAGTCTCGTAAATAAAAGAAAAATAGCAACGCGATTCATCTGTAAGAAATATGAAAAATAAGAATCAAATCGTTACAACTTGGGCATGCAATTACCGTTAAACCGCGACCCGACGCTCAAAGCACGCGAACATCTCAACCAGCAAACAAGCAACTTAAATTGCAGATCAACTAAAGAATCGCAAAGAGCAAAAGTTGAGAATGAAAGAAAAAACTTAAATAAAATACAAAAGATAAGATAAAAGCGCGCATGAAAAGGAAGTTTCAATTAGGTCGGCCAACAGATCAGCGGCTTTTGTGGCACTTCTGGCACGCTAATTGGTTTGATGGACGGACTAGCGGTCAGAGCGTTGAACCACAAATTCAATAATTATAAGCGGCATGGAAAACAAATGAACAAGTATTTAAAATTAAACACATACATACACGCTTATATAGCAATTTAAGCGAAATCGACGCAAAATTGAAAAATAAAACATTGAAAAGTGATATTTTTAAGTATGCAGGTCATTGAACGATGGCAAATAACATAAAATCAAAATTTCTGCTCATCAAAATTCAACGCGCCTTAATAACGCATGCCACACGCATCCTAAATACCCCAAAGCTGCTGTTGTACACTTTCAAGAAATCTGGAAAAATCAAAATTTCAAACCCATCACCGAATATTGGCACAAAATTCCTCACATCCTTCCGTTGCCCGTTCCAAATTGAAACATACATACAAACATTCGTTTTGTGGCTGTCAGTTGATCTTGTCAATGATCAAGTTTCTTATGAGCTTTACCCTCTTCTCTCTCTCTTATTTTTTATTCCTTTTCTTCTTCATATTTGTTTCTTCAACCAAACAATCACTTTAGTCGTCACACGTAGGAGCCACATTTCCACTGCCACGTCAAGTACGCGCAGCAGCTACGAAACGCACGCCAAACTGCAGCAGCAAAGCATTTCGAGCACAGGTGGAGTAGCTAGTGGTGCTATGGTTGATGCTGACCAACAACAGCAGTCGCACACGCACCTCAAGCACCACAATCACCAGCAGCAACACCAGCATCACCACCATCATCAGCACAGTCACAGCCACAAAACGAGCAGCAGCAGCAGCCGGCCGCCAGCGCCACACGTGCGCACCTGCAAGAAGACACGTTTCCTGCTGGAACCGAATCGCCGCAGTTGGTCCGAAAGCGATCTGCTTAAGGAGATCGACAGCGAACTGAAGCTGGCGAAGGGCTTTCTCTATGCAAATGGTGGGTGAGTCAGTCATTCGGTCTGTGATTGTGTGTGTGCAATTTAGCTAATGTCTGCATGTCACCCCCACCCCTCTTAGTACTTTGACGAGTATATGAGTTGTACGTGTGGTAATATGGTTATTTCTAAAAATGATTTCACATATACGAGCTAATTGTTATTGAGTTGCATTTGAAGTAGATATGTACATGCGTTTACAACCCAATGTTCACCCAGCTATGTACCTCAATTTAATGTAATTCCCTCTATATGAATAACGTTAAATTTGAAAAACAAAAAAAATATTCAAAAATTATCAAAAAATTATTTACTTAATTGATTGAAAATTTGTTTGATTTATTGATCCGATACACATCTGATTATCGATATGCATAAGTGTCAATTGGTTTTCTTTGCAATTATTATTTGTTTCGTAGTTGTTAACCCCAATTATTCAAAAATTTATTACAATTTGCCGTTATTTCTGCATGAATTATTTTCAAATTAGTTAATTGCTAAGGAATATCGAAATGAGTTTAAGAAGTATGTGTTGAAAGTAAGGTGTTGTAGTAATTAAGCAAATTTTCAGAAAAATTGGTTATTCGTCCAATATTTCTGGAATTGAATTAAGGGGCACACATACTATGAAATTAAAAAAAAAACGATTTTTACTTATTTCGTTATGTTAACCTATTAAAGTCTTAATTCGATATCGCGAATAGTTTTTGAGTGAGTCGGTTAGTTGCACCTACCATACAGCATTATAAGTGTTTTCGAAGAATGAAAAGATGAGCTGCTGTGTTGACCGATTGCCATAACCTGTCGAACGTTAGTTGATAAGATAATGCATTTCGTAGTTAGACGAATTGGACTTCCATTTAGCACATTGAGCATGGGCAGTCTAAATCTTTTTTGGGCTCATTTTATTATCTTAAATTTCGTCTAAACTCTATTGCAAGAGTAATCGTTGGCTATACTTCTGAAATTATTCGACCTCTGCAACACGAAAAACACAAAACCAGACGACCTCGCAGTTGACTTGAGGATGCGAGTATGTTTTTTAGATTTCTGATTTTTATTTTTCAAAAGGCGAAAGGATACTTATTAACTATCATTGCCGTTTACTATCAACGAGTTGAAATAGACATTTATTCGAATAAGCTCGTCAAATTTTAGACCGTTGTTCATTTGCGTGAAATTTCTATAAATATGTATTATATAGTAGTTATTCTCTAAAAGATTCTATGATAAAAAGGTACTAGTTACTTAAAAGTAAACACTATGCTCTTTGGAACATGCGGTAAGGAAACTTTGTGACATTTAAGTGAAATCTCATAGAATAAATCCATTAATCATTTGAGAACCACTATTGACAACCAGTGTTGCAATAGAAAGCATACATATCCAGACATTCTATATGCACGCTGAGTTAAGTGCTTCGCTAATGGTTACTCAAATTCGTGGAAACACGCTGGATTTGATGATTATAATCCACTTATTTTCGAATTTAAAATATACATTGGTTTTAATGACTGCGAACATATTTCACACTTATTTAACTCGTCCATTATCCAGATGTTTGCATTTCGAAAGGGAAACTATTTTTATGCGATAGCTTGTTAACTCGATATTTGTGCCATTAGCATCCATTTTTAGACAACACAACGCAATGAACAACTTGTTGGAATTTTTTTATTTGAACTAAGAAAGTGTCAAATGGAGACACTCGAAACACATAAATTGTCAACAACGTAGTATAAATACAGACACACTGACACACAGATGCTAATGTATATGGATCTTAAAGTAAATTTACATATCTATCAGTCGTGACATGACACACCGCGCTAAGGCGGCAACGCGACATTCAACGATCGAAAGTGAGAACGGATGTTTTGTTGAAATTTTCCGAACATCTTGCTAAATATGATCGATAGGCCGCTATGCTGAAAGTGAGCAGAGTGTGTGGTGAGGCATTGGGTGAATGAAAACTAAAAACATTTATTGAGTGCGTGCGAACTATTTATGTTGAACAAAGTGTGTCTCTGGGTTAGGAAAACAATTGCCTAGCCTCACCTAATGTTTCGGCGTATGCACTCGCCTTTGTAACGTTAACAGTTGCTGCTGCTTAATTTGCAGTTGGCGTTGCCTCAGTGTCGCAGCTGATCAACGCTCAGTGTTTGCGCCGTTCGTTGCTCTGCAATTGTTCAGCTCTCCCAAGAATAGGATATTAAGAAACTCTGCGCATAATCCAATTGAATATTTCAAAAAGCCGAGCGATGTTCACACCTGATGATTATTGCTCGGCAAATACTCGATATTTGAGTGAAATTCAACTATTTATTCACTCATAAATTTTAATGAGCTGAGCAAAAGTGGGCATATGTGAAACAGTAAATAATAATTAGTTATATATATACAGTATGAACTGGTTATATCACGAAATTGCGAACAAACAATTTTTGTCGATCCGAAACTTTATAATTTTTCAGAATATAATTTTGCGTTGATTTTGAGTGTTTTTAACATGTAGTACATATGTATATGTTAAAAAAACTCAAAATGAAATCAAAATTATAGTATAATAAGTTTTTAAATATTTATAAAATTTTAAAAGCTTTCTTGCACATACGATCTTACTATATAGTACTACAATGTGGTACATAATTTATAATTTGGAGTATTCGAATATATTGTACATATACTCGTATAATCGAATGTATATAAAAGTATACATACCTATATAAAAACGAAAAAGCTTTTAAAAATGCCTTAGTCTTAATGAGTTTGCACTGTGCTTTGGTGACCAACAAACGGAGGATGAAATTGGACATTTTTTGGAAGGAAAAATTAAAAAAAAAAACTATTATACCCATCAGAAGTACATTTCTTATAGCATAAAAGTGTGTAAAAAGAACTTTAAATTCATTTTAATCGGCCAGTTTGTATGGCAGCTATGTAGGTATATGCTATAGTAGTTCGATATCGGCCATTCCGAAAAATGAGCAAGTTTTCGGGTTTAAAAGGACGTCTGCAAATTCAGATCGATATTTCAAAACCTGCCACTCCCTCAGTTTTTAAGATATCGATCTGAAATTTAGCGTATATATAGAATCACAACCATACACATAGATGGACATGACTAAATCGACTCAACTAATCACGTCATTGACGTAGCCCTTTGTGTGTTACAAACTTCATGGCAAACTTAATATACATATCTTGTTCAGGGTACAAGTATTAGCTGATGATAAAGTAGAACAAGGCATACAGAAAGCTTGATTCAAATACAATAATTAATGACATTAGATGAAATGTTGCAAAACAAAAGCGACAACCGCAGCAAACTTTGCTCTTAAATCATTAGTGAGGCGAAAACTCGAAGAACTTGACAGTTTTAACTGGCTGCCTTTTCTTATACTCTCCCTCGTGACGTAGCGGGTCACAATCTTTGAAAATATATCATTCTTTGCAGCCCCCTTCCAAAAGAAAAGCGTTTTTGTTTTTGCCTCTGAGTTTCACTTGTTTCAAATGATGCATTACCTAAGGATTTTCTTGACATTTTAGTGTTCTCTGTTTTTATCTCCTTTGCAGAAATAAATAGTAGTTTTTAGTTGAAGTTTATTGAATTGTGGCCTAAAATAACAAAGATCAACAGTGTTTTTCAATAAAATATTAGTATGCACAGTTTTTTCAAGAAAGAGACTAATCAATCGAAATGATTTTCAAAGGACTGTATTATTTTAAAAATTTTACCTAAAATAATTTAATTTTTTTACCAGCAGAGCTTAGAAATGTGTATAGATATATTGTTTTTTTTTGTTTGTATTTTAAAAATTTCATTATTTATTTTGTGCTATCACCCCACTGTACACCTCTACGTTAAACTGATTGCTGTCCACTAGCCATTGCAGCGCGTTCGCCATATGCTTATTGTTTACGAAAGTTTTCCAATACTCTTTTTTGAGCTCATTTTATTCATAAAAAAACTTTTCTATGCTATATTCAACTTTTCTGTCGCTTTTTCGAAAATTCAGAATAAACAAGAAGCAATGCGAGCCAATAGCCGATCCGCCAATATGTAGTCCATTCGTATCTCAAAACGCTCACTCGTCCAATTACCCGATCTGCACGATTCGAATATGCTTTTCGAAAGTAAAAAATAAAATCAAAATAAATTGAAAATTTCGTGCAAGTTGAGCGGCGGACGCAAAGGCGTACACACAACCCACCAAAAGCGCGTTCGTTTTGTATATTTACGGTTTTTAAATTTTTTTTGAAAATAATTTCATATTCTGTTTTTTGTAAAAACGCGTCAGCAAAATGGGACAGGGTTAGTTTTTTGTAGAAAAAAAATTAAATGAAATTTACTGATTTTTTAAGTGTTCCAAATGAAAAAAATTTTAAATTTGTGGATTTCTACAATTTTGTGTGAGCCTCAATTTAGTGAGAGCAATAAAAAAATCATGAAAAAATAATGAGTGATGTAATGTTCGTTTTTGTCAGTCAAGTGCAATTAAACGCTAGCAAAAATTTAAAATTCCAATTAAAGTGTCACATATCTCACACACAGCAGCTAGTTAAATAACTGTCAAGTGAAAACTCATAAAAGCTCTGAGTTAGCCTCCCGCTATATCTTTTCCGTTAACTTGCAGAGCCAGCAACGAAAGGCAGCATGTTCGTACCGAAATTCAAAGCGACCGCACCAAGTGGCTCAGGTAATCAAAGAGCATAGAAGTGGTCACGCATAGCCATTATCAGCCCATCTTCTTTCGTCTCATTGTCATCGTCATCCATCACCATCATTATCCAGCATCTCATCAGGCGCATCAGCGACTCGAAAGTCATTCGCGCTTAGAACCTTGTCTAGCATAATTGAAAGTCTGCGTGTGTTTTATGAGTTCATCTGCCCCAGTTCCGACTTGTGTCACCATTAGAAAGAGCGTCTATCTCCAAATCGCGATCTTTTGCGCTTTCACACGCATTCCTTTGCGCGCTCCAAGTGCCAGAACCGTCGTTG